AATTATCAAAGCTCAGTTCTATCTCTAACATTGTTCGTACTATGATAAAGTTTGCGTGATCGTAACAACATATAATTGTCATAAATGTGACATCGTGATCGTGTGGGCGTGGGATCAGCGTGGGATGTTAAACGCGTTTTCTGAAGATTATTGTGGTCATGAGTTATGAAAATTTCTCCATCCTTTTTTTCGATGCGAATTCATCATAAATCAAGTTACTCTTTTGTTGTTATAGGTCATCGATAGCTTTTTAGCTTTGAGAAACGCGATGTTTCTTAGCATGCACTAAGTAGATATGATATATCATGCCAGGATCATTTTTAGAGCTTAATCGTAAATTGTTTCATGTCTTTAGTGTTACCTTACAGTATAATGTTCAAAACCTTTGTGAAAAAACCGACCATTATGAGGCAAACGAAAAAAAAAAAATGAAGAATCATTTAAGTTGTTTCCAAAACGGCGTAGAGAAATGGCGATAACCATTAAAAACCTTTTTTTAGAAAAAGCTTCTCCTCCGTATATCAAGAAAAAAGGGAAAAAATGATTTAATGTCACTAAGTACTCCCGTCAAAAAATAGGTATGAGAAGATATTTTTAAACAGTCGTTTCTTACGCAGGAAATTCAAAAAGGAACCTACGGAATTCTCTATTTTTTTTTTCTACGCACCCGGACATATTCTCATTTAACTAACATAAGATTTACCTGCCTTTCTTTTTACGCTTTTGGTTAATATTTAGATGTCTACTTCAGTTAAAATGTATCTCTCTTTATTCCTCTCTCCCACCGTATTTAACACTTGGTCGTCACGAGTACTGAAGAACGTTTGAAACTCTCCAGCTGTTTGTTACTGAAACGTGAACGGAATAACCAATAGCTTATAGACTGTAATTTAATACAAGTATCTGAAAGCTGGTGATCGATCGAATGTGTCTTATTCTGACGTCAAGGACTGAATGAAATTATCAAAATGGAACCTCACAAGACAAAAACAAAAATGAGATCACAAAAACGAGTTATAAACCATCATGGTTTTCACTTGATATTCTCTATGAGCAACAACTTTTTTCAATCACGATGAGTCCGGAAACTCCAATACCCAATCTTTGTTACAAAAAAGGCACTCATCGAATGTCCATAGGATATGAGCAATATTTTATCGATTTGCTTTTTTTTTTTATCCAATACAGCAAATGACCGCCGTATCTTCTTTACAGTACAAAACCAACATAGGAACTTTTACAAATAATTACCAACCTAAGTACGTGCGGTCTGTTACTGAGTGGCTGCCCCAACAGGAAGTGTACAAGTATATGTAAACTGCAGCCGATACACTAAACAAAGTAAACGACGTTAACATTATTTACGGCCTCGAAACTACGTTATGCAGCAAAACTTATCTATTAAAATTACTCTGGAACTTCCCGAGAGGTCTAGTAATTTTTCGTTTTATTTATGTAGAAATAGGCTTTTAAGGTAGCGAAAAAAAAAAAAACAAGCAAAGAAACTTAAGGTTATACAAGAACCGAGTGGTAGCTTGATTTCGCGTATGACGCATCAACCTTTAAAAACTGTCGTTTCCATAATCAGCGCGAAATTTGTCTACTAGACTCCGCTCTTTGGGATTCAGGCGCCAGGAAGAATTTTTACGTCTACGTAGATTTGAGCACGAAATTAATTCAAAGATGGGAAGGTGAATTTATCAAGGTACTGAGTTGGATACAAACAATTACTTTGAGGTTTCGCTGTTTGTCGACATGTCTTTGCTGAGGCAGGAATTCAAAAAGATTGTTTAGAGAAGGATCAGGCAGCCTTAAGCCTTTGTTTTATCTGCCAAAATGACAATTTTTTCGGACTCGATTAACTTTTTTTTTTACCGAGTACCTCGGTCGTTTTTTTAATGTGGAAACTAACGAACGAATTTACCTCTGTGAATTTAACCAGTCTTGCTACATATTGTACCAAACATACTCACGCATTGCTTCTCTTGACTTCTGACTCTTTCTTGTTTGATATCAATATCACTCAGTTCTGTTTCTGTTAGAAGTTTATGTTCCAAATCGGTTTAGCCTTTTATCCTTTTTATCCTTTTCGCCAGCAGAGACTAGGGTTCATATTAAACATAATTTATAATTTATTCTTCTCTCTTGTCCTTTCAGCTCGCCGAACATGAATAATTTAATTAATTTTACAATTCATATAATTGGCGTTCTTGAAAATTATACTTCATTAGCCTAGCGGGTGTCGGACGAACTCTGAATTACATGTTGTAGCCAATGAAAAGCCTTCTTTAAATAAATAATTGCTTATTTATGGCAGAAGCTCAAATTTTACACAAATAGAACAGAAATTGCAACTCGGTTCATTGAAACACTGAAAATTTAATTTCCTTAAAATATATATTGCCTTGGAAAGAGCCGAAACCTCCAGCGTGCTAGTCAAACATAACTATCTTAGTTTGTGGTATCTCCATTCCAACGACTTGACGTTCAGATTTCAAAATCATGATCAGACATAGCGGGTCGCATCACGATTTTATCTTTCTGTACATTCTCCTCGTTATTTATTTATTTGAAAGATACCCAGGAAGATTCCCTTCTATGATAACTTTATCGACAAATACTCAATTTTCATCGTGTCGATTAATTTGCGGGAAATACGAAACGCGGATCAGCACGGGAGGTGGATAATGATTGTAAATGGTTATCAAGTGGGTCAGCAAATGCTGCTCTCAGAAATCAAATTGAAAACCTCAGGAACTTGTCAGTTGTGGGCGAATGGACCTGACAGATAAAACTCTTTCGTGGCTAACTGTCAAGCTGGAGAAGATGTGATTAAGAATTCATTTTTACAAATATCATTTTAATTTTTGAACCATGGTAGATATCAGATTCTTGTACCATAGAATCATTTTTTAATCCTGAAAACATTCAAAGTAACATGAGGCAAAAAATCTTCTTGCAAAATTGTTATATTTAAAATGAACTTTACAACGGAAGTTACTTGTTTGCAGGAGGAAAAAAGACAAGTATGCGCTTCACAGAACAGTTGAAAGTGAAGGTAATTTCATTTAATTTCGAGCATGACCGTTTTACATGTCATTATATTTGCTCTTCTTTTGTTCAGATGAGTATCTCTATTGTATGGGTTTTGATCAACTTGGGAAACTTTTTGATGTCTCAAGGTTTCAGAGTCTCATTAAACAACTGCAAAAAAATAAAAAAGCGTTCTAGTGAGATTTCAATTTTTTGATTAACATGCAGCTAAGCTTGGAGCGAAAAATGGCAAAGAAAGGAATTAAATGAAACCTCTGCTAAGATGTATGCACAGAAAAAACAAACAAACAAAACACAAATCCTCTTCTTTTGAGGAATCTTTAGATATAGTCGTACTTTCTTAAAAAGTATAAACAAAATGTTGAGGATATACCCACTTTGGAAAAGAAATTAAAATATACGTGACAGGGCAAAAGAAAAAGCAATCGATTTTAGTTCAGACGTCATTGAAATTCTGTATATGAGGCCATCCTGGCTATAAACGTTCAAGGCTCCATCCTCTCCCTCTCCCCCTGAAAAAACAGTTGGGATTTAAACTGACCTCCTCATATTAAAGAAGATATTTTCAGACATAAGCGTGTTAGACGGTTTTCAGGATAAAATCTGGGGCCACCTAGAAGGATACCAAACTCAGGTGGAAAAGCATTCAAAAAGAATTCGATTGCCACCTCAGGCTCGTATTATTTCGATTCTTTTTGTTTTCAATGTATTCGTGAGTGTTTAATAGCTTTTTCTTGGTCTGTTCCACACTCGTTCGATGATTCTTATCTTTGAGCGATCTTCAGTAATGGGTTTTTTAGCTTGGTTATGTGATAAGTCACTTTATCTTGCGGAAAACCAGTATTAAAGATGATTAGTCTGTCAAAAACGCGCCGACGACGATGATTTAAGAAAGTCCTAGTAGCGACACGCACAAGTGTGCATGTTTTGGAGCGAGAGATGATCATCATGTAACCTCTCTTGGAAAAAAAGAATTGTTATTTAGTTGAAAGATGAAGAGAATTTAGCACTAACCAGATTCTAAGGCCGGGGTGACAAAGGGTTTAACACAAAGTAGTTTATTATCCCAGGCCACGCTCGTTTTTTCATGACGGGAATCAAGAAAACCGGATCTAGTTCACGAGAACGAAGTAATCGTGATTACATGTGCACATGCAAATGCTGATGAGGCTGATTACTGTCAGCAAGAAAAGTTCATTGGTACGGGCAGTTAGCAAAACGAAAGAGTTTTTTCAGGTTTTCGCGGTAATTATCTAGCTCTGATTATTGCCATTTTTACAGCTAAAATTTTAGTCCGTTTACAGAACTGCTATTGATTTTCATCCCACACATAAACGAAAAAACAGAAGTGACGGGGGATTTAAAGAGTGTACGCTGTTGAGGGGACTTAAGCTATCGCACTCGTTGCCCAAGTATCTCGCTTCTCGTATCTTTTATCAACTATCAGAGAAGGAGAACCAACAGAAGAAAATGGTCGTGAATAAACCATCAGACCTTTGCCTACAGTTTTGATAGGCTATGCTATATCATTGCAAAAACGCAAGTTCAAGACAATAAATGTTATTTACTTACGTCACATCAACTCGTCATTATTAGACTGTAATAATGTTCTGAAACTCAGAGCGCAGTACTAAATAGTTACGGGAGTAATGCTGGACAAAAAATTCCTGCAAAACAACTCTAATAGCTTCATCTCGGAATCATATTAGAATGTAAGTACAAGTTCAGCTAAATCCCATACCCTATACCCAGTTTTTAATGGTTATCCTCAACGGTCCTTTTAAATTTATCATAAAAGCAACTATAACAATTTTGGGGTGAATTTCCTTTGGGGATCATTTCCTTCATTCTCAAGAATCCTTCTCGTGAATAGGCTGATGTTGTGAGGAGAAATTTGATGATGATCACTTAAGGGGCCAGGGAGGGTTTGGGTTTTCGGTATTTAGTTACACCATGGCATTGGAAATGTTTGCACGCCGGAAGAACTCAAGACCTTCGGATGACATTTCAGCTGCGTTTAGAGATCTAGCTAGCCAGCGATCATATGTGAGACTTGTGTTTCTCGTTGGCAAATCCCTGGATGTATATCGGAAAGGAATGTCGTCAAGTTTAAAACCTAGAAGCTTATCGTACTCTTTGCGTAACTGACTCTTGCGGATTCTTTTCCTAGGTTCAAGTTCCTTATTAAGAAGCTTTCTCGCGTGTCTCCGTTCTTTCCTCTTCACTCCAAGACGTCGTAGCTGTCTTGTGGTTGCCGGTTTGAAGTACAGTCGGGGAATTGTCCTTACTTCACGTGTGCTGAGCTTCTCGAGGCGCTGAGTAATCTCTTTGTAAAGCGGATGAGCTGCATCTTGATACATAACACAAATGTAGTCATCAGTTCTGTCTACATTAGGGTGGGGCAGGTTAAACGTATCTATGTAATCGCTCGGGTGGAAATCGTTCCCCTCCATTCGGACGTATCTGGGAACAGTTGTAAAGTAAGTCTCCATGTGATCATTACTCTTTGCCTGCCAGTCCGCCCAAATCTTGTCGATGAATGCGTGATGTAAGAAGAACTCCGGTGCGTTTGCAGAGTTATGAGCGCACATTGTTCCTCCAATTTCGCAGTGGAAGGCATCATGGAGGTTAGCACGTACGTTAAGCTCAAACTCAGTGAACTCACGTGGACGATGTGCTTTTGTCAAATGAAGGGCAATAATATCTGGGGCTGGAGCTGTCAGGTAAAAAAATTAAGAAATAAATACCTGTTATGGAGTTTTAGACATACCACCCTATCTCTACTATCAGGAAAAAACTTGAAACCGGGCGAAGCTTTCGCGATTTTGAACTGTCAACTGGAAACTCTACGTAAGATCTGGTTTTCAGGGTCACCTTAAGTCTACCTTTAGTCTTTGAAGAACATGGTTTGAACGAACGAGCAAGATTTTGTTTAAAGTTTGGGCTTCAGGCTTAGATGATTAGTAGTTGAGTGCTCGGCGAAAAGAAGACAGGAGCCAATCGAAAGGGATTGCAGTCATTATGTAAACTGTACCTGAGAACTTTCTCCTTAGGCATCCTCTTTTAGCCGAGGGTGTCAACCGCCATTTACGTTGACTGAAACGCCCGGTTTTAACGCATCCAGCTCTGTGAGATTTTTTCTTCCGACCATTTCCTCCCAGTCCCCAAGGCTTGTTGGACCAGATGTCGTCTATGCCTGTTCGCCAAACACCTTTAGCGAACAAACTCCAGTCCCAGTAAGGAAGAGTCACTCGGCAATCCACCTTGCGTAGAAAATTCTCGTAGCGAAGAAGAAACCTGATAAAGGAAATATAATATGAAGTTATTGCATATTGAGAAGGAAGGATGGACGGCGGATAATGTATCCACGGAAATGGAGAGTAGAGGTAAATTGATAAAGGATAAAGGATGGAAAACGGAGATGTGACGGGGGCAACCACTCTAGAATTGGTTACTTGACCTCAGAGAATGACCTTATTGCCTAGATAATATGTGCGGGAATAAATTTAAGGGAAAGAAAGTCATATGACCTACCAACGGTGCCATGGTAAAAACTGCTGTTTAGAGTGAATTCCGGAATCAAACAGTCTCGCATGCATGGCGATAATTCGGTTGTATTGTCTTCTGTATCTTCTATGAGTCGAGGCTTTGATGACTGTGTTTACATAGCGAATTCTTTCTTCTCGAGTCATTGAGGGGAAATCTTTTCTTTGTCGACAACAGTATCGCAGCCTCTCGTTCACACAAATGCACCGCTGCCCACACGGACCGTCGACTGCTTGACCTTCTTGATAGGTGCTGCACGAATAGTCATGGCGGCCTTGAGATGACGCCACTGAAAAAGGAAATAATTTTGAACAAGCTGATACTCAAGCTGTTACTGACAATCCCCTAATATAAGGGCAAGAAAGACAACGGTTTCAGCGCTAAAAAAAAATGTGAGGTCTTGCAATGACTAAGGCAATGTTATGTAAGAGTACAGAGAACTTCTAGTTGCAGCAGCATTGAAGATGAAAGGTTTTAAAAAACATATCGGGGAACCGGCCATATACAAGAAGCTCCTACTTCAAAAGCTAATAAAATTATAAAGTGTACGACCTACGTTACCTACGTGTAATGTAAAAGTATTTTTGTCGGAAAAACTGTATGGCCGTTTTCAGACTCTAGGCATATCACTAGCTTCAAAAAATTGTCGCTCTTCTAGAATTTTTAAGCAAGTGGAAGTCGTGTGTTCATGGCTGCGACTTAAATCGGGTAGAATAAACGATAAAAGGGCTGTTAAAGTAAGGTAGACTTTGAAATATGAGAGTTATTACCTGAAAGGTAGAAGGCAACCACCAAGAAAGTAAACATTAAAAATCTTCCTCTCATGGTTGGTGAAGGATTAAAACTAGAGAATAAAAGAATCACAGAAACACTCTATGACAGAAAAATGTCAGTAAACCTACAGGGTCTAGTTTATAATGGTGATTGAACTAAGTGGAGGGAGTGCGCTTTTGCCTGAAATAATACTCGTGATTTCAGAATCGAACGAGCGCGTAGCGAAAATGTCTCCTTTTTATACTACATCGCTCACAGTATAAATCAGGTTAGCAGGTGGTTTTATCATATCAAGAAAGTCTTTCTTCGCACTTTGTTTATCTTTTGGAAATAAAACTTGCATATAGACAAGAAGCACTCGCTAATGGTGGTAATTTCTCCGCCAAAACAACCAAGATGAAAAGACAACCCTTTGTTGAAAAACAAACTTAGTTATGAACGCCTCGTTGTTCTAACCACAAACAAGAATAAATAACGAATGACGTTTTGGATTTTGAATTCTAACTTTTACGGTTCTTTCGCCTTGCCTTTCTTGGTCTACAGTTAGAGCCAATGTATTGCCGTATCGTACTCTTTTAGTACAAACTCACAATATATAAAATCAGGATTCCACGAGGCTGTTCACTCGTATCCTCTATTTAAAAACCGTTGATCGACTGTTACGACTGTTAAACATTTTAGCAAATGGACTAACTTTAAGTGTAGTCGCGGCGTTGATGAAGCACCAAATTCTCTCAACACGTTTTTAAAGAAAAGAATACAGCCTTAGAAGGAGAGTTAAATTTTAGATCTCGGGAAATACGGAGCAAAACCAGTGAATCAAGCAGTCAAACTTTATGATAAACTAGATCACAGTGATTGGCTCGTTCAACTAAGCATTCAGACTTTCTTTTGTGTAATTTCTCATTTAATTTGTTCAGCTGCGGTTAAAGTCCATTCTTTAAAACAATTATTTATGGCTATTTTCAGTTTCATGATTTATTCCCTGAATTTTGGGACCATGTACCGTATTAGATTATAAAGCTTGTTCATTCTCTTATATCAAAATCGAAGCTTAATCCCCTGTTTACAAATTCGGTAAAGAAATTACATGATGGTTTTTAGCATCAATGCAGTTATTTTTCTATCATAGTCTTATATGTCACAAAGAAGCAATTAGTTTGACAGCCGATGAGGAGCACCAATGTTTTTTTTTTCTTACCTCCCACCGAAGACGGAGTGTAGTTTCGTAATGGATGACAGACGTATTCAAACTACTAACCCTTACAAACTGCAAGTTTTGTTCGAAAACCAGTTCTTTTGATGTCTTCAATGTTTAAGGAAATTTGTGTCCAATTTCAATTGGTCAGAAAATTCAAAATAACTTTATATTTTGAAATGGCTGTCAAAACATGTGGAGTAAAAATTCAACAACAAGGTAGTTTTGGAAAAACAACGACAATTTAAGAGGTGGGTTTTTTTCGGGAGGGTTAAAATAAAATGTGCTAGAGGAACTTAAGTGAGCATTACTGTATTGGAATTGGTGAATAAAAGTGGGGGAGGTCATTAAGAAGCGATTCGAAACAAATTAGTTTTTCTGAATCAATTGTCAAAACCGTCATTTTGTTAATTAGCTTTGACAACAGTTTTTCTTTGTGACAAATTTTTCTTGGTTTTTGCTTTGATAACTTGAACTCTGAAAAACCAAAAGTCTTTTTTTATTAGCCTCTTTATGAATTTTCCAATTTGTAATGTTGTAACTTCATTCCTTAAACTTCTCTTAAACATCCGATTTTGTGAACAAACCGATGCCAAGAAATCTAGATCAATTGAGAACTCCTAGTTTCTAGTATTAAAAAAACACCAGATTTCAAGCTGGTGCTATAGCCGGCGCCAGAGTCACGTTAAAACTCGCTAAACACATACGGAAAAGCTCCTCATTATAACTGGTAATAATATATATACTTATTGACCGAGTGGGAGGGCCGGACGGCGGAAAAAAAAAATAGCTCGACCAAACTAAATCAATAAACATTTTATCATATGACCACTAAGCATTGAGAATTTCGACAATTTTGTTTCAGCCTAATGGTGCACAAGCTGGACTTCTCCAACTTTTCTTTGTTTCTCCGAATCAGAGCAAAAAACTCACAATTCATCGAAAAACGTGACTTTAATTTCTACTCCTTTCGTTTTTCCTTTGGTTTTGCAACAAAGCCGTGTGAGTGCCGCAGGGCTGGACGGCTCCTTCTGTATCCGGCCCTACACACGTCGGCTTTCATCAAGGTTTTCCATGGGATTGCACGCAGGGCCGCACGGGTCATAAGCCTGATAACAATGCTGACTTCTCCTCACACCATCACGTCATTTTCCATCAGACCTGGGAAAAGGAATAAGACATTTATCAGCTACTGGATGTCATTTTGCAATGTCACCGAGTTCCATCTTTCTCATTCGCATCGTTGGGGTTCAATTTCTAATGGGAGGCATAACTTGATTTTTTCCTCTACCCGACGCTTGAGACGAGAAAAATAACACACAAGACCGAGATGTAACTTTATCGTCTTTCTTATCTAATTTTCTCAGACGACACTTTCAACGCTGCTGACTTTAACAATGTGCAGAGCGCATGCAATAGTATCCCATTCACCAACATTCATATTCATGCTCAGTTGTAATAAGGTATGGGAAAAATGATTGATCGGCGGGTTATGCAGAGTTTGTGGAATGCATTTGAAAGCATTAAATTTTACTCATTTTACAATTAAAAAACTATAGCGTAAATATTTCTACACCTCTTTTAAGTTAAGCTCCAACTTTGAATAAGTTTTGCTCTAAAGTTGATCGGACTAGTCATCTACTAGGCAAAGAAAAAAGCTTGTATAAATTTTGCGGCGATCTCTGTAAGAGCGGTCCGGGGCGGTTCGCGTCGGAAAAAAGTTTTGACTCAAATTTGCCCATTAAACTATCTTTGGTAATAAATAAAAGAAAACACTTTGGTTTCTGGAAATACGTTAAAAAAATTTCCTTGAGAGCTCTCAAAATAAACAAAGCTGCAAACGGCCCTTTTTTTACCTCGAGACATCGAAAATTTCAAAAGTTGACAATCTCGCTCCTCGTAACACACTACATGCAGCAAGAAATCGTTTGTACTCCTAAATTTTGTGATATACAAGGGGTTTGGAAAGCGTTTCAATTCTGATACGTGTCTTTTCAGAGGTTAGTCATAATTTATTTAAAACACCCGTCAGACAGCTTTCTGAAATCGGTCAAAAGTATACTCTTTCTTTCGTGGGTCGATATTTCCCTAAGTCCCGACCATACCATTGAAAATTCCGGTTGATTACTTCTTATAAGATGTTCGAAAGCATAGAAATGTAAAAATATCTTGCACTTATTAATTTTCTTCGCCGTAGTGACTTCAAACGTCTAATGATTTTGCTAGCGTGACAGCAGAATTATGCAAACTAGCCTGTTGAGCAAACTCCGACCGTTTCTTTTAGTAACCTCATAAATCTTAGATTTTAACCATTTAAAAAAGAAAAGATAATAAGATAGAGATTTTAGAACGCACTGATGGATTTTATTAACTGTGAAGGGCTAAATCCTGGCAAATAATTCTGTCTTGTGACAAAAAAAGTGAACAAAACGTATCTAATATCATATTGATTAGCGTTCGGTCAACGTGTTAATGAGAAACTTAAAAAAACAAAGTTGGTTTCTGTTCTTTTTATATTGAGTTTAGAGAGCTTAAGCTATTCAAATCTGTATGAACATTTCAGCGCCAAACTACTGGATTTTATTAAGTGTAATCGGCGATAACGGCATTACCACTACGAGCAGTTCCTCCTTTTCGGCGAAGTCCGCGGCACAGGTCGAAAAAAACTCAGTGAAGAAAAAAATTATTTCAATGCCTCACTCCAAGCTTTAACTAGCTGATTACGGACCAATTTTATTGTGAGGTTTTGGAACACTTTTTCCTTCCAAATACAACATGTTTCAGTATTGCCAAACATTTCGTCTTGTGAAGTAATATTTGGAACTCTTTAATTGCCAGCCTTTGCTTTCAAGTGTTAACAATAACTTTTTCTCTGATTTCATTCTTGTGACGAAGGAAACTCCAGCAGAAATTAGCGTTAGACTGTCTAGATTTATTCATTCTCTCAACGACTGCAGCAAATTTAAAATGCACATCAACGCTTCCATGATGATTGTAAGTGCATGGGCCATTAAGCGGAAAAATTGCTTTTAAAATGTATCATTGTGTTTCTTTTTTTTAGTGGAAAGCATCATAATACAATGCGAGAAATTTGTCAAATATGTTTTCTACAGTTTTCCTGAGCCATCCACCCTCCACCCTCCACCACGCATAGAGAATTTACTTATTTTTAATAACTGAGCGCTTCTTTCCAAAGGTCGCAGAAAGAGACTCCATCTTGAAACCGATGTTCCTGTCCATTCCGGTAAGTCCAGCCTCCCCCCTAAGCTGGTGGCGTGGTTCCAATTCTCGCAGATCTTGTCTGGCTTGGTTTTGCTCCTGTGGGCTGATATGGAAAAACCTCATTTGGCGACCAGTAAGAGGCTTAAACGAGTGCCGAGGGATTTCAAGAATTTGCTCGCGTGTCATTCCTTGAAGACGCTGCATGACCTGTCGGTAGACAGGATTTGTTGGGTCGTCGTATAAAACACAGGTTGGCCACCCTGGCCTTTCAACATCGGGAAGATTTGAGTTGTCGAGAAAATCTCCAGGTCGGTATCCTGTTCCAATCATTGGGTTCGTTATATTACGAAAGTGGGCTGTCAAATGATCTCTGCTTTTTTCTTGCCAATCTGACCAGATCTTGTCGATAAAGCCATGATGAAGGAAAAACTCGGGAGCTTCAGCTGAGGTGACAAGACACATGTCACCGCCTATCCTACAGTGAACTGTGTCGTGGAGGTTAATTCGAAGATCCCTCTCGAAAATTTTGAAGCCATCAACGGTGGGAGGATGAAGCAGAGTCAAGTAGACAGCAATGATGTCAGGTGTAAAACCTGCAGAAGACAGAAGATTAGAAGCGGACACGGTTTTACGCCTTAAGGTGGCCTAAAATGCATCCTCTACTTTCAAGCTCTAATTCTTTGAACAGACGACAATAACACCCTCTGACGAGACCCCTTGAAACGACTTAAAAAAATGGTGCGCAATGATTTCTTAACACGCTCTGACAGGAAGTAATTTTGCGTACTGGGTTAAATGATAAAAATATTAGATGAACCTCTCTTTCTCCCACATAGCTTACGTGTAGCTGCACCCTTCCCTCCCCCCTCACGCCAAGGTTAGACAGGAGCGAGGAAACGACATAATATCGAAGGCAACTAACCATTGAAATCTCTGGTGATGCAACCCTCGTTTGTCTTCGTCCATGAGTCTTGACCGAAGACTCCATCTTGAACACAGCGGGATGGTGTAATGCCATTGCCTCCCAATCCAGAGGGTCCGCTATACCAAACTCTTGTATTGTCTGTGTGCCAGGGTGTCATGGAGACAATACTCCAGTCCCAATAAGGCACGGTTACTCGGCAATCGACTCGGCGCAATAGGTTTTCATATTGAAGAATGTACCTTGGAAAGAAAAATCAAATAAACCGTATCGTGTTAAACATTATGCATGTAAATGTAGAGTTTAACTTGAAGGAGAACATTTGGAGTGGTTGAAGAAACTGTCCAGCACATAATCTAAAGATGTTTAATAAATGTGTAAATGTGTATGGTTTGAAACAAGAGGAAGGTAAAAGGAAGGGGGGGGGGGGGGGGGAAGGATGATATATCAAAACAGAGTGGCTCAGATTCCATTGCTTTTCCCCGGTTTTACTTCCTCTGGATCTACTTCACAGCCCTTTATCCTCCTTGGCGGGGGGAAGCATCGCGGGTGTGAATTATCTTGCCTTAGTCCAGAACCCTCAGCTCGTAAAATTAGTTACTCACCAACGATGCCATGGTAGAAACTGATCCTTTTGATGAATTCCTGTTGGAAACAATCTTTGGTGCATGGATATAAGTTTCTGGTACTCATTTTGAAATTGAAGATCGGTTGAAGCTTTCCAAACGGTGTTGACGTACAGTATCCGCTCGGCTTCCGTCATAGAAGTAAACTCCTTTCGCACTCGGCAGCAGTTTTGAATTTGACCACCAATGCAGTAACATGTATCACCGCAATAGTCTGAGACTTTGGCGCCTTCGTTCGAACAGGACTGAGAATCACCCAGAACTATGGCACAGACTACAATACAAGGGAAAATGTCATCGAACGGAATCAGTACATGGCCCTGCTAAAACGATTTTTAAGTGTTAATATAAGATTCTCGAGCTTCAGTTCACACTTAGGACGAATTTTTAATTGGATAAGCAAGGTTTTTTCTCACCATTTTCTTACAGAACCGTATTTTAGAAACGTGCATTATCGTATATCTACAGCAGTAAATGTAAATCAACACGAATCATGACTTATCAGGGAAGAAAGGTCATGATCAGCGCTTGTTTACAAAGTAATATCAAGCGCCAAGCGCAAATTGAGGACCGTTACATATACCGATCTGCTTCGTTTCCGTGGTGCAAAAGATATATGGAAAGATAAAATTCCTTACCTGATAAAGCCACAGAGAGTAAAAGCTTCATTGTCATCCTTTGAGGAAAAATTATCTGACCAGAAAGGAAACTGAATAGAAAGAAAATAAACTATGCAAAAAAAATTATCTGAATAAAAATAAGAAAGACAAAATTCTACAGCCATCAAACATTTGATATTGTCGCCCTCTTTTCGTGTTAACAAAATTACCTCGTTTTCTGATTTGGAAAAAATTTCATTCAATGTCAAATACATGATATCCCATTTTATAACAAAAAGGAGATACCTGGCTGTTTTTAAATGCAGTGTGTTGATATTTTTCATGACTAGACAATTAATAAGAGGGAAGAATTCTACGGCCATCAAACCTTTGATGCTGTCGCCCTTTTTTTGTGCAAGAAAACTACGTAGTTTTCCAATGTGGAAGCAAATTCATTTAGTGTCTAATACATGACATTCAATTTTATAACATATATAAGAAGATACCCGGCTTTTTCCAAGTACATTGTGTTCAAATATTAATGCCACAAGCAAGCATAAGCTCTGAACACGTGCAACACAAGCATATCACAGCCGTCCATAGCAGAGGTAACTAGAATCCTGCGTCAAATCAGTGTCACTTGTCAATAAAAAAGTAATCTAAGAATGTTCGCGAACCTCTTATAGTGGTACCAGGATGAAAAACAACGCACCCAAGCAGACGTGACATATATTTTACCAGCTGTTCTATCATTGTCTTTCGCATGTCAGGACTACTTTAAACTTCTGGTCATAGGGCTGGTAACTACGTGCCTCTCCTGAAGTGCTTTTCTTTTCGTTGATTTTTTTGGCGCTGAGACCATCTTCTTTTTTCGAAATCTTCTGTAAGAAGGCCATTTTAATATTTCTCAATAAACTTTAATTTAAGACTTCAAACCCTTCTATAATTAGTCGGATTAGATTTTCTGCTTTCAAGAGCCTCGCCATCGCAAGTTCTCTATCGTCTTTTGCACTACGGATACTAAATGATGTACGTTGTTCTTAATTACATGCTTTCATGCGATTAATACTGGCACCTGTGTGGAAGTTTAACCTTGGCGTACACGCTGCCTTGAAGAATTAACATTTACCTGGTGCTAAAGTACACTGAAAAAAACTTTTATCGAAAATAATTTCATCGAATGAATTTGCTACTTTTGAGCGACCGTAATACTCGCTCTAAGGGTCTTTCTGTCTGTCACATTTAGTAATGGCGAATATCAAACCCTGAGAGCATTTTATTTTAGTGATGGCGGCTCCTAAAAAGCCGGAAAGACGGATATTACATATATTAAGCTCAGGTTTGTTCTCTATCTGGAGCACTCAAAACATCTCTAATGTATTTTAAATGTAATTTATTTTCGAATACTTTCATTTTTGTTTCTTTTCTAGAAGTCTTGATTAGATAAAGTCTCAGGATATCCGGATTGGAGAAATTTATTAACAGAATCGACCCAGTGAGATCTCCTCACTGATAAGGATATGCTACCCTCTACACTTTTAATGTCCTGTTGGAAAAAATTACATTTAGACCTTCCGACTCACTGTCTGATTGACTGACTGGCTAACAGACCAAGTAGCTGACTGACAGGCTGACTGACCGAATGACTGATTGGCTAACTGACTAAATGTATAGTTGATTGGCAAACAGAGAGCCTGAGCTGACTGTCTGAATAATGGAACAAATGATTCACTAGTTAGCTAGCTGATTAACAGTCTAAAAAATGGCTAGTCTGACTAACTGGCCAACAAGGCGACTAACTGTTATTGGGAAACCAAAATCATTTAAAGTGGTTTTGGTTGCCTATGCCATTTGAAGGTTGGTGGGTTCTCTGAGGCTCTCATCAAAATCTCAGAAAAAAAAAATCGTCTGCTGTTTTGGCAAGGCAGATTTTTTTAGGTATTCTAAATCATGAGAAGGAAATCAGCTATTCATAAAGGAATTACGAGAAGGGCTTTTACAACAAAGCTTAAACATGTTTTAAAGCTGTTTTGTTAAGCACAGTTCATTCTCGTTTTCTTCATAGAAGCTGCACCAAACGATGTAGGAATAACGAAGGTAAGTTTCTAAAGAAACTGTGGTGCTTTAAACGATTTTTGTCGACTTCAAACGATTTTTGTCGACTTAAAAATTGACAAATCGAAATACAAGTTAGCGACAACTTTAATCCCGTGAAAAATTCAGTTCTGTGTTTGATTTTCAATCAGTTAAACCCGGTTTAACTAATTATGATTTCAAATGGTGAATTAGGTACAAGTTGTAGTTGTTTCGATTTGGAGTCTAACTCGTTGTTACACGTTACCTTAGCCAACCCATATATAATATTTAATTAATCAAGGCATTTCAGCCAATTAAAACCCTTAGAATCACAATATAAATGATGCTTGCAGCTTCAAAAGATATACTGATAAAATAATCCAGATAGCATTGGCCGATTGGTGAGTTGAAGTTCTTTCCTAAGTAACTGTATATTTCAGATACTTCGCTATTTTTTTACCAAAGTACGAACAAGCGCTTGCCACAAATTTTAACCCGACTTGAATTTTATAACGCAAATTTAAAGGTTTCTTTGTCGTCAGATGCGCGATTTGATGGTTAATGGGGAGAATTGTCGTCCAGGGCATGCATTTAAAAAATCTATATCAAACAGGAACTAAATGCACAACATTTTCCTTCATTTATCGTGTTATTAAAAAGAAATATTTTGTAAAAGCAATTAAGAACACTTCCGTGTTTATATAGCCATATCTAAAAACTCAGAAGGTTGAGAGACTTCTAGACACGCGGGAGGTTGGGAGAATGCTCGGATGTTATGCAAATCCGACAAAAACCAAGAAAGGTGAGTTTTTTCTGCTACCGTTTGGAACATTAAAAACATGATTAATAGTTTACAATTCGGTTGTCAAGCTTTTGTATCTGTGCTCTGCATAATTACTCTTCGCTAATAATCATTATCTCCGTTGTTTTTATTCGCAGTAATTACTCCTATTTCTGTGCACCTTCCGTTCGTAATTAAATGATTATTTTCAAACTTATTGCCTTGAAGTGGCATTATTTTTTGTCCGCGCAGTGATTCTAATTCTGGTCAAACGGCTTCGATAGACATGAGATAAAAAGACAATAAGAAACTGTTGTAAATGCTAAAGTTTCAGAAGCTTGCAAAAGGACTACAGGTACATTTTGACAGCTGTCGACTTAAATAATCTAAAACGTCATTAAACTTAATGGTATTTGTCACCAGATAGATGCAAGCGTCGAGGGGCGACCGTATGATTGGTTTATTTGAAAGAACGATGTCATAAACTTAATATGTGATTGACAGAAAGAACAAAATGTTAATTGGCTGATCAGCCATCGTTGTGTAAAATATTAAAGCTGCGTATATATTTATCCTCTATAGATTATCAACATTCAAAAATTATTGCCGGTATGATTGTTGTTTGTTTATTTCTTCTACTGAATATCATCATTATTACAATTATTGCAATTATATATGTATATCATTCTCGTCTTTTCTTTTCCTAAAAAATAATACTTACGCTGCGAGCAATCATTTTTACCAAAGATTTCTCTTTCGAAATATTTATAGCCAAAGGTAATTATATTCATTTGCAACACGTTGAACGTTTAAAACTTAGCGGTGTTGTATCAAATCATAAAATATAATGATTCAGTTACCTTCCGTTTGAATTTTTAACCGTGTTTGTGCTGTTTGGGGTCTGACGATCAACAAAACAATAGGATTGACTCTGAACACGACTTTGATAAAAGCACGCTTTTTGTAACGACATGGGCGGTTCTCACTCATGTCCCATAGTCCTTTTCGCTTACATAATGTAGGTCGTGATGGCGTACATAGAATATTAGTGTGTTGAATTTGGTGTCATGACAGAACTTATTATAAACTCCTAACTCAACTTGCTTGTTCAGATATTACTCTAAGTGGAGTCAGATGGTTGTCCGCCCACAATGTTTCTGTCTTCTTATTGGCTCGATTCCAAGTGAAATCATCAAAGATTATAGGAAACGGTATGGGATTCTGAAATACATGTAAAGTACCTGTTATCTTCTTTTTTGTTGGTTTTTTTCGTCCACTTCGTTAGAAAAGAATCAATATATTCCCAGAGGAGCAATTCAAAGAAAGTTTTCTTTTTTTTGGTTACCGTTTGAACATTGATAACATGGTTACTCGTTTTAAGAGTCAGCTGTCTCAAAGGCTGCTGATGAAGTGCTCTGTATAATAAATCTTCGTTGATAATCATCTTCACCATTATTTCGATTCAAAGTTCATTTTTCTTATAATTGTGTTCCTGCTGTCGTTTACAAATAATTATTATTAGGAGTTTGCACCGTTACTCTGTGTTCCAGATGAAGTCTTCGGTGAAAACTCATGGAAAAAGGCAACGGGGGCTGCATCACCAGAGATTTCAATGGTTAGTTGCTTTCATTATTATATCGGTCATCGATATTGGAGAGACAGATATTCTGGGAGCCCACAGGTTCCCTTAATGTAACGTTTTCATTGTTTATGATGCCTTTAAGCCGTATTTTCAATGATAAATGAAAACTTTACCGAACTGGTTTTCAAGGTACAGAAACACGCGGTCTAAACTAAGAGTGTTTCTAAGAGACTGTCGCATTGCAATGGTAACCCTGTGCGTAAAATTACTTACTGTCAGAGCGTGTTAAGAAATACTTGCGCACCAAATCGTTTCGAGGGATCTTGCCAGAGGGTATTATCGATTGATCAAAGAATTAGAGCTTGAAGGTAGAGAAACCATATTAAGCCACCTTAAGGCGTAAAAACCTGACATCATTGCTGTCTACTTGGCTTAGCTTCATCAACCCACCACTGATACCCTTATTATTTTCGATACATCTGAGCATTTCAATGCGATGTAAGTTATATGCAATCTTTGTGTTGCATACTATGCCTTGCTTGTAAACTTCGTTTAAGTATTGTTCGTTTTCTCAGTAGCTGAGCTTTTTTTTTTGTTTTTGTTGTTGTTGTTTTTTTTGTTAACTATTCGGCTATTTTTTTGTCTTCTTTGTATAACAAGCAGTTATTTGCGATCATTGAGACATAAAAGTTCGTTACAACGATATTCAGTTAGTCTGAAGTACAAGCGTCTTATTAGGACGAGCTAGTGTTACAAGCTTGCGAAAGTTTATGCGGTCGGCCGCGTTTGATTTATGTTTGGATGGACGGTGGGAGGAGGGGCGACAAAAAGCAAGAAGGCATCCTCCCTCCATCAAATGTTTTTAAAAGCGAAACACCCCGCCTGGAGTTCAATTCAAAACAGATGTTCCTTTTCGAGAATACGCATCTTTATTGTTAAAAGAGCCTTGCATAACTTTAATTCATTTTCCATTTATCATACAACTACAGGACAATAATACAAATACTGAAAACAAAAGAAAACTAGATTTACTGAACGTAAAAAAGTAATTTGATCTCTCATGAAATTGCATCAGGATTTTTAAGACAATTGCATTTTTAGCGATGTCCTTTTTCTTTCTATATCTGTTAGAATCTCCAGGAAAAGTCACCTCCTTTGATGATTAATATATAGCAGTGTATTGCAACTAAAAATATGTTTATAAATTGTCATTTTGAATTATACATGTCAATTATGTCAAATTGTACCATGGCGTGTTGTTAATTTTAAGGTGTGGAAGGAAACATTTTTACAACCACCATTAACCCTTTGACTGCCATAGAGTGACTGGAATCTCTTCGCAATATAACCTCTGATGAACACATTAGGGTCACGAGAGTAAAAGGAAATGATCATTCACTAAAGAAGCTCTTGCTTGTTTAACAAATTCTCCTTGTCGACATCTTAGGAAATGTATGTAGAACAGTATGGAGAATACGTAAACTGATGCTAGGGTTTAAAGGATAAACCGTTCTCAGGTGCTCATAGGAGATTGCTCTGGCCTTGGCTAGCTAAACCCACTTGACGGTCGAAACTGAAAATCTGGAAGAAGAGATTTAAAGAGACAAGAACTTAATAAGCATACACTAGATAAGTGCATTCTTAGCAACAAAATTTAAGTTCCAAGGAAATACATCGCAGTTTGATAAACACCCCTTGCATTTATATGGTATTCCGTAAGTTTCCTTATACAGAAAAAATGAATCTGGTTTAAGGGAGACATGCTCAGGGAACATGTCCCTGAGAGTCTCTTTGGCCGTTCACACGATGAAGCAACCATGACATAAATGGAAAAGGTCGGAGACTTGATCCTTGAATCTAAAAGCTCAGAACATGTGCCAAACAATTCCCTTGGATTTGAATTTGAGGAACAGGTAAAATGGTTCAAATTTCGGTCTCGACTTGCTGGAGGGACTGCAGTCGCAATTTTCCCTCCTGTGTTGTAACCTGAGAGGAGAGCAATAGAAAAGGTCCCTTCGTGAATTATTTTCTAGCTGTTTAAGTTACCTTGTTGTCGTAGGAGAAAAGTGCGTCGTTCGAGGCGGTATTAACACCCTCCACTTGCAAAATAGGCTCTTCTCCGAGTTCCATGCTGAGGGACTGGACTTCATATGTAGGGACAAGCGGAATAGCGCCTTGCTGAGGTGGTTCTTGTTCGAATCGAATTATATTTTCTCTCACTGACGGCCCTGACGGAGAAGGAGTCCTGAAAAGGACGAGTGAAATGAATGAACTGATATTTTGAATTTATTCGCGCACCGTTAACATTGACTGTTGATATTGATCTGCGCTTTACGTTATCTGAATAATCCATTGAGTTGTCATTAGTTTGTTTTCATTCAAGACCAGATGACTAAGTCACTTCGTTGAAGATTTTTATTAGGCTATCATAGGCGGAAGCACCACAGAGAACAGGCAGGAATTGGTGCGTGTCTCAAGTCCACTCAATTTAACCAGGAAGACGAGAGTTAACCAAATTTTACTGTGCCCGATAACGTGCACAATTACTTAAGATTTCCTTCCATAACCAGTAAAAAAATATGGCTTTATTACATATGTGTATGTTATATCAATACAAGAATGGAATGCCTTTCGTGACAAATCTGCCATAACTATTATTTTTGTTAGGAATATTTGTTTGACTTACCTAAGAGGAAGCAAAAGGAAAAATAACGAACCCAGTAAGAGGAATACAAACACTGCAATTGGTATGGCTGTTTCAAATTGAAAAATAGAAATCAACGAGTTAAAAACATACTCTAGATGGTGAAAAACAAAAACAAAAACAAAAAAGAAAACAAAATAACAAAGCGAAACATAACGAAAACCGAAAGTGTCTGATTATTAAGGTAAACTTCACAGATTGGAACGTACCAGCAAAATACGTATCAAACAGTGGGTCCTTGGCGAAAGCAGCATTGTCAAGCCTCTCCGCCAAAGTGGTTGGGAATTCTTTGAAGTCGCCTGGTAAGACAATGAAAGTGGAATAAAAAATAAACAAATAAATTTATGGATATTTTAAAAAATTGATCAAATGAATCAGTAGATGAGCAAATTAGTAATGTAAATTAACTGATTTACGCGATTTCTACGATTGCTCTGTGCAGTAACTGGACAATCAATTGATTAATGTCATGATAAAATATCACCTCGCCGTTTGCTTCTGTTCCGATCCTTTCCGGATTTATTGCTGCTAAGATCTTTTAATTCTTTAAAACTAAAACATGCATCTGCTTATAAAATTATTAAAAACAGGAAAAACGCGTAAAGCAGATTATAGATACCTCCTTTGTCACAACCGTACATCGCTACCCGCAAACAGGCAAACAATCCAGTGTGATTAAGTGGATGAATTCGAACAAAATGAGCGCTTGTTCCGTGGAGAGAAACATTTTTCCCGGAAATCCTTGTGTTAGCTTTGAACTAAAAAAATCAGCGATGAAACATTTTAGAAAATTGATTGACTTAATCCTTTACGACCTCTGTAGTTGATTATCGTCACTAGACTCTTGATACTCGGTTATTGGTCTCGCTACTCGCATAGATCGAGCATCAAGCATCGAGTAACAAATACTTTAAACTTATTTTGGGGGACGTTAAAAATGTCAGATTATAATAATCATCTACTTACAATTTTGGTTTTTCCATCTTCAGTGTAGTTGACAAAAGAATTCCCCTCTGTGCTGTTGCTCGTTGAAACGTAGTAACTTTCAACCCACAAATTATTCGTTTCATCTTCGACTCCTTCGGTTTCAATCTCAGTGATATTTGTCAGATATTCTACTCGATAAAAAAGAAAAAAAAAGTTGGTGAGTGAGTGGAAGGTGGTAGGGGATAGAGGAGGGGGGGGATGACAAATGCACTACATGAATTTGATCCTAGAAAGCGAAAAAACTCAAGCAAAAAAGCAAAAAAAAACACAACAGAACACAGAAATCGAGTAAGTGTCTAGTGCCGTTTCATTTTTTCCCTGTGTGATGTAGGTCTAACCCATTTCAGATGAGCAGTTTCGATAACTCGTATTTCTATTGTCTTGGAATAACAATTAAATAATCCGAAACCTCCATGATGGCACGTGAACCCATTCAACCGGCCATAAGAATATCAATTTCTAACTAATTCGTTCCCATGTCACTTAAACGTTAGAAATTTCTTACGTCCATCATTTCTTTATTTAATACGTTTTCCTGATCTGAAGGGATGAAATACATATACGCACCAAAGAACACTTGCATGTAAGGCGTTGTGTCTGTTTGCGATGAGCACCACCCGTCATCCCACGTTCCCATAACTTCGATACCAATCCTCCCGCGATGAGCAGAGTGACCGGTGTCCCTCTCTGAAGATGAAGTCACGTGTTTGTCTGGGATTCGACGCGTATTGGGTATCTTCAATCCCAGCTCCCTAAATCCACAGCCTGAATGATCAAACGCAAATATTATGTCAAGTTGACCGTGGTACATAACGTAAACGATACAGCAAGGTGTTGTTAAAAACACTGAGCAATCAAAAACATAGCACTGGTCTTTAAATCGAGGTCCGCGATGATACGACCTGCGTGATAACGATAACTTTGGTAATACCATTGATACCTTAATGAAGGTGAGAAATGATGACGCGTGGTTTTTGTTGTGTGTGTGTGTGTGTGTGCTGATGCGCGATATGAGAATCATAAAGAAAATACGATTAATGACAAGCAATCGCTGACACATCATGTCGCATAACTCAGGTGGGAGTGATAATGACGATGATGATGATGGTGGTGATTATCTTTTTTTTTGAATAGTAGTGTGATATGAAAACGTTGCGTATAACCCAAGTAAAACTGCTTTTAATCAATAGTTAAGTTAGAAATTTACTTACCTGACCCGCAGCGGTTTCCATAGTAACCGCGTGTACAGAAGCAGCGGAAGGTCTGATTAGCGTTTGCGCATCGCCCGCCATTTAAGCACGGCGAAGGAGTACACTTGTCGAGTTTTGTAACTAAAGGCAAAACAAAGTAAAGACAAATTTACGACAAATATTACCAACTTCCACACGATTCCGAACTAACCTAACAGCTGAGGAATGCGAAAAGGCAAACATTTTTTGTTTAGTCGCTATCGATGGCAGCTATCAGCTTATAAGCCGGACATTACATTTATTTTTTGAAGTAAAACGTTTATTTTTTGTCAATATTTTAAAAACGACTTTCACTCACCTGTCTCGCATTTGTCTCCAGTAAAACCAGCTAAGCATGTACAATTAAATTTATTGGTGAAACGTCCGCATTTTCCTCCATTCTGACATGGATTGCTTAGACAAGGGTCTGTATTGTTTTGTACAACTGAAGAGAGAGAGAGTAAACAAATTGTGGAGAAAAGTCATACTGTGCCTATGGAAAAATGATAAAAACCTGACTTGCTCAGATGCAAGAAAACTCTTCTGTAAGTTCCCTTACTGGAAAAGAGTAATCCACCTAATTATCTGTTCTATAAAAAGTCAAGGAGAAAAGGAGAAAAAGTTATTCTGTGCCCAAGAAATAGTGATAAAAACCTGACATGCTCAGATGCAAAAAAACGCTTCTGTAAGTTCCCCTTATCGGAAAAGAGTAACCTCACCCACGTATTTATTCTAAAAATCCAATTACCTTTGCAAACAGTTTCCTGTAAAGTTCCAAAAATGTTACTAAGAGAATCAAACGTTGCTTTGTAGATATTCTCATTATCAGGTTCAGACGCCATATCTGCGAGCTCACTGTACACAGCATTACCGACACCAATTGAGATGATATGAACACCTTCATCGCGTAGACTTTTCGATGGAACTGACACTTTGTCTTGCGATTTACTGTCTGTTAAAATGATGAGAATTTTGGGAATTCCCTCTCTGGCCAAGCTGAAGATATCTGTTCTTATTCGAGTCAATGCGGCGCCCGTATAAGTGCCACCTGCGTCATAAGGAATACCCTGTACAGCATTGACCAACTCTTTCGTGGCGGAATATTCAGTAAAATTGAAATGAACTCTAAAACTGTTTTCCGAGGAGAAGGTGGCAAGTCCAATTCTGGTGTCGTTCTGTCCAATAACTATAGACTTGACAAATCCTGCGATGAAATCTTTGATTCGTTGATAGTTATTTTTGTCTCCCTGGTTAATGCTGGCAGAGCTATCCACGAGGAAAGCAACATCAGCCTTGGTTTGATTGCAACCTTAAAATACAAGCAAAATGAAAAGAAAGACGAACATAACCTTAAGTCATGATTTCAGCCTTGAGAGCAATCACGGATCTCTTACCGTCATTTGAAACCCTCATTTCTAGAGAGCATTTCTATTAGTACCGTAGAACCAATATTTAAATAATCACATTGGTTATAAAAAGAAAATCAATATCACAAAGGAAATTCTTGAAATTTCAGTTTCGAAAGTCGCAATGCGTAATACAGTTCTGTTAATGGACGAGTGCCTCCAAGCTACCGTGCGCTTGAGTAATCTCTTCCCATCTAAAGAATAACTTTAGAATGAAAACGAATATATTACATATCACTTTTGTTTACTTACGCATGGTACAGTTATAACCATATCGGCTGTCACTACAAAGACAACTTGATCCTCCAGGATAGTTATGACAAGCTTGGTTTTCATTGCATTTTGTCGCATTGGTAGAACACTCGTCGACATCTACGGAAAATGTAAAAATAAAAAAAAATTTAAAGAAGGCAACCAACAAACCGCCTGAAGCCCGAGAAAAGGGTGTAATAGATATTTGCTATTCTCTAAGTCATAAGTGACTGACTGGTTGAGAAGGCGATGGGAGTTTTTTTCTAGCACAACCACTAAGCAATTAAAAAAAATATAGCAATGTACGAATTCTTTTTAATACTCAGTTGAAACTGTCACTGCTTAAGTGGTTGCACGTAGTGTCATCAAAGACAGGTGAAGCTATTTGAAGGAACCTATTACAAGTACTGTTAAATCCTGAATAAGAAATGTGTCAAGTACAAGTGAAAGAAAAGAAGCCATAAAACGTTTTTGTCTAACTCACCAATTGAGCAATTCTTTCCTGTCCAACTTGATGAACAATTACATTGAAAACCATCCCGTAAGCTGGTACAAGTTCCGTTATTCTCACACGGATTATTTCTACAAACGTCTACAGCTGCAGTGTAATGGAACAAAAAAGCGATGAAAATGCATACATAGGGAATAAAACGCCCATCTAATGCTGCATTTTTACGCAGCACTATACTTTGTATTGAAAAACAAAAAAAACATATTAAAAATATAGGCAAAACGTCTTCCATCGAACATGCCACCAGTAGCCATTCATACGTTTACTTGGCAGCGGAATGCCTTAATCGACAGCAGCCTGAGTGAAATGATATTAACGAGCAAAGGGGCTGCGTCAGAGGGGGTAACTTGCATAATCAGCTCATTTGACAAAACCAAAATATACTGAACTCATGCTAGCTTCCATATCAAAGGTTCCTTGAGACAAAGGTCTTTTAATTCGAAATATATCTATTTGCTTACCAGAACAAATCTTTTCACGAAGAGACTCCACAATTTTTGGTAGATCTGAAAATTTAGCTTCAAAAACGTGATCTTTATCAGGATCCGTCGCCATCTCGTTTAGCTCAGGCTTGTAAAAACAGCAGCCAACACCGACAGTAATAATTGTCACTCCCATATCTCGGAGAGCACGAGATGGATCAACTACACTGTCTTTAGACAATCCATCAGTCAAAACAACCACAATTTTAGGAACATCTTCTCTGGCAGCTCCTAAATTTTTGAATATCTCGTTGCGAATCACGTTTAAACCTTGCCCAGTACGTGTACCACCTGATGGAAAACCCATGCCTTGAATTGCGTTCTCTACTCCAACCAATGTTTTAAAGGTATCTAAGTGATGGATTATGCGATATTTTTGCGAATACAGAACAGTGGCAACGTTAGCTTGGTCCGGACCAATTTCAAATTCTCGTACGAGAGCAATCAAAAAGTCTTTGGAACGTTGAAAGTTTCCCTTTCCTTGGAGTTCTATGCTACCAGATCCGTCGACCAAGAAGACCAAATTGAATCGTTGACTTGAACAAGCTAAAGCAAAAGAAAAGGTGATATAAATTTAAAGATTTATTTGAACGATACACTCAGCATCTTTTCCAAATTCATAGAACAGGGCGTGGTAGCGTACAGTTTGCCTGATCATTCATTGGAGAGAAGATAAAAGAGGACGTAAACTTTATCCTTTCTTGGTTTAAAACATTCAAACAACCGTTCAATCACTCAGTCAGAAGACTGCGAGAAGGCCCCCCCCTGTTAATGATGGCACGAGCTTTTTTTTCGAAAATAGCATTGACAACGCCTGACCTCTTGCAAACTTTTCCCTGACTCCAGCGCCTTGTCTCCAACCCTCCCGCGGACAGAGAAACGCGCATCATGCATCGTTCTTAGTGAGGGCCTGGTTGCAAGTTAGTCAGTCAGTCCGTGAGTAATAAGGTACGTAAATGAAAAACTGGAAATATTCTAAGCTATTTCCAACGCATGAGACATGCAAAAAGCACTTACCAATTTCGCACTGCTTTCCAGAAAATTCCTCTGTACAATTGCATGTAAAAGCCCCCAGGAGATCTCGGCAAGTCCCGCCGTTTTTGCAGGGTGCTGAATCACATTCGTTTACGATATCTGCAATGCATGTGTCGCAAAAATAAAATACTCAAATACATAAGAACGTCCTTTTAAGTTAATGAGAAAACTTCCTAAATTATCAGTGAACGCTACGTGTATGCTTTCAGAGAAGTAATGTTACGTTACCTCCATTGCGGCCTGATCGCTTTTGTAAGATACTGACAAGTTATCTATAGACAACGGCACTCCACCTCAGACCACTAAGGTTTAATGCTGATTTGTGTCCCTCTTAATTTGTTGTTTGAGTGTTTCTTTGATTCTTTCTAGCCACTCTACTTTCATATGATTAGTTACAATTAGACTTTTATGTTGTATCGTTTTGGAAGACATGTCATTGCTGCTCTTGACCGATAGGCTTTCTGACTAGTAAGTTGACTTGATTTTTATCTGCAAGCTGTTAATCTCGAAGGTTAAAAACCAACGTAATACAGACCTTCCGTACAGTTTACACCTCCGATCCCTGCTGGACAAGTGCAATTGTGCACGTTGTAGCCGACAATTTGACATTTTCCTCCATTCTTGCAAGGGTTAGGCTCACACACAGAGGGGGCTGAAAAAAAAAGTGGTTTTTTGTTGATTCAAATATCAGCGGTTTCAACTCAACATGTTTAATGACTGCAAAAAATGAAAGAACCCCGAACGACGATTGGTGTTCATAGAGTTTACCAAAACTGCCAGATAAAAAGGGTTTAAATACCCAAATATAAGGGCCAGTCTCGTGATAGATAGAAACGCTTTTCGCGGAAATGTTGCATTTAACCAGGCTGTTCTTTCTTAAATTAAATTTAAAGAGAGTCAAAACTTTATTTTAAAATATGGATTTTATCTTGTTTTGAGGCTTTGTGAAGCTGAGAGTGGGCAGAAAGGACATGAGTCACTTACAGAGTCCATTATTCTCCTTAACCTGAAGTGAATGCCATCAATAAGAAAGAATCCCCATGTGGTCTTTCATCTACAAAGTTCAGGTTATCAAGCAAGTATAATATCTATATTTTTCCTTTTACTCACGCGGAATACAGCGAAACCCTCCATCTTGTCCATAATTATTTTTACATTCGTGCGTAGGCGGACAGTCTGAACTGGTGCATGGTTTCCAAGCTGACGATAAGAAGGAGAGAGAGACTGTCTTTTCGTATAATTTTGAGAAGCCTGTCTTAGAAAAACTTCCCTGTAACATACATGATCATGTTTCAACTCTTATGATTTAATGAACACTTTTTTGTTTGGCAAGTTTTCTTTCTTGCAGTATGATCTATGATCCTCTTTATTGATGTTTACCCGTAATTCTTTAAGTAACCAATTAAAAATTTGGTGGCCGCAATTAAACTTACAAAGTGTGTAGAAGAAAGGTGTAGGAGAACGATTTTCTAATCCTGCCATGGGAACGCATTTTTGGCGACTGAAGGCAACAACAAGTTCTAACACAAAGCATAGGTTCACACATCCTCATTAATGCGTCTTTAAACTTCCTCAACCTTAACTTTGTTCCTCATCACGGCCAAAATAATAATTAGTTTGTCCCTAGAAATCAACGAATTTTTTTTAATATTAACTATCACTGTTCCCCTCTGTTCAAGAGTTGCCTCTTTAGCACTGTCTCATTTTGCAAAATCTTATTTGAAGGTTTAATTACAATAACCACTAATTTACATGACCCCCTCCTATTCCCCTCAACAATCAAAACAAGTGAAGGATTACCCTTGCCACGTGTCATAAGTACCTTTGCAAACCGCGTCTCTTGTTCTACTAACGAAATGCTTCAAATTTGAAACGTCCGTCGCCAAAATGTGGTCCGTAGATGGCTTTGACACCAACAAGTTCAACTCTGCTAGATTATAATTGTTATCCAAGGGTACAGCTACAACAGTAACACCTCTTTGTTTCAATTCTGCCGCATATGGCGCTTCATCATCATTTGATTTCCCCATTATCATCACAACTACGACTGCTGGTTTTGAGTGGTTATAAATTTCTTCAATCACTTGAACTTTCTGTAATGCTACACCCAAGTTCTTCATGTAACCCATGGAATAATTCGCGCTGCGTAAAGTTTCAGAAAATTCGGTTAAGTTCGATGCTTGCCCAGGTCTGATGACAATATCAGCATCAGTTGCATAGGAAATGACTGCAACGTCTACGATAGAAATGGAAGATGCCACCGAGATGATGAACTCGATTTGATGCTTTATGTTGTCTTTTCCTACATTTTTTCCTCTGTCCAAAAGAAACAGTACTGTGGAGCCATTGTTGCTGCAATCTGAACAGCAAAATTCAATCAGAAAGTTAAGTATTCTTTAAGGTATGGTTATAGTATTTCATTTGGTCATTGTGTACGTCTGCATATTTTAATGTGTTTCTTTTTCTGTATACGTCGTTATGTCTACTTCTTGGTCAATGAAATTATCAGCGTCTCAGCAGACCAGTAGATCATTTTTGTGTCAACTAGCTAGATTTAGAAATCTAGTCTTCTATCCAGTTTCTATTTTTCTCATGTTTTATTTGTTTGTTTCATTTTTTAAAATTTTTTTTTCTGTTTGTTTGGCTGTTTACAAAATAATTCATTATGTTTTCACTCTCAGGTAGGTTGTTTCTGCAATAAAGATAGTCCGCGTAGACCACACAGGTGAATAGTGCTTTTCGCACGTGCTGATTGGCTGGTCAGTAAGTGATTAGGAATTACTATTCACCTCCGAAGACACCAAATTGCGCGTCATCAATTCAATTTCCGACCAATTTTTGCAGGAATAAACCAAGTTGTATTTTATTGTGTGGTTTATGCTAAAGTAATTATTCTCCTAAGTGTTGGTGAAAGTGGTGGATATTTGGCTCGGTAATTCTCCACTACTATTGACCTCCTCTCGGGTGAACAATCATAATTATAAAGTTCCTTGAAATCACTCACCTCTGGTGCAATTCTCACCGTACAGAGAACTATTAGCGCATGTACATTCAAACCCACCAAAGGTCTCAGTGCAACGTTTTCCAAAAGTGCAGTTGGAACTTACGTTTGAGCATTCTTTTACATCTGATAGCATAAAATTGAAAAAAAACGTCTCACATTCTAGTGGTGTAAAAAGAGACAATATGGTAACAGAAACAACAATACATTTGGATCAAAAGCCATTGTCACAACTCCTAGGAGCGTATGAAACATCTGAATTAACCGTTTGTTTTCCTAATGGACCTAATGCGAGATATTTTTCAATAGTGCAACGAAGTTTGATACTGTTATTATTTGATATGCACCAGTAAAAGCAAAAGTATAATGGTATCAAACAGATCTGTGGCGTCATTTTATGGAAGCATGCTTGCACATCATTTTAATCGTCCTACCTTCAGAACATTCTGCTCCTTGGAAACCTTGCGCGCACGTACAATTCAAACCATTATTTTGGCAAACACCACCAAACCTACAGGGATTATCCGCACATTTATCCAAATCTGCGGATGAAATAACAGAGGAAAATGGTCATAGGAAGCCCCAATAATCTCATATTAAAACAAACATTATGAAAAAGATAAATACCCTGACAGATCTTTCCTTTAAGTCTGATAAAAGTTTCCGAAAGTGAGTTAAATTCAGTTTTGAAAACCCGATTCGTGGCATTGACAGCTATCTGCTCGAGCTGGGAAACATCATAGTTTGAACCAATTCCAACAACATAAGGGACCACGTTAATGTTCTTGAGTAGCGCGGCTGGCTGAGTGACGTCATCCGTGGAAACACCATCTGTAACTACGACCAGGATTTTGGAAACATTGCTTGATCGTACCGAGTTTGGGCCAAACAAATCTTCTGCAGCCTTTGTTAAGGCTTTTCCAGTATATGTGCCGCCAGCAGGATACGTTATGTTATCAATCGCCTGTTCAACGTCTGACTGAGTTGTGTAACTGTCCAGTTTAAACACTGCTGTGGCATTTGTGGAGAAAACGATAACTCCAACACGTGTTAAACCACTTGACACATTGAATGTTCGTATAAAGGTTTTTATAGAATCTTTAATAATCTGAAAGTTGTCCTTTCCGTAGAACTGCACGCTAGCAGAGCCATCAATTAGAATCCCCAGATCAACTTTGTTGACCTTGCAATCTGAAAATCAAAGTAATACTCATTATCACAAACTAATTACTGGCGCTAGCTTCATATTTTAATAATCTATTCGTGAAAATCCTCAAACATTAGGCGACGTATGCAAGATTTTTTTTAAGTTAATGCACATTGCTTAAATAAAAATGTGTGCAATTTTTTTTTCATTTACATATTCCTAAATTATCCAACATTTTGGAAAGCGTAAGGAGCCCGAATATATTTACCTAAATGGCAGTTCTTGCCACTGTTTCCATGGTTACAATCACATCGATAATCGCCATTTCTGTTGATACATTTCCCACCGTTCTGACAGGGAATGTTGAAACACTCGTCTACATCTGAGAGAAAAAACACACAGAATAAAATTTGTGGAAATTATGTATGTTGCGGTCTCTTATACATCGGTCTCAAAGGAAAACACATGATCCCTACGACACCAGATGAGCCCTTGTAAGGAAAATGGATGGATATGTGGTTATCACTTACCATCTTCACAATGATTTCCTGTATATTTCTCCGTACAAATACACTTGTATGACCATTTTATTAAGTTCTCCACGCATTTACCACCGTTTTGACAAGCCATTGGGTGACAAGGGCTGGTGGCTGCAACAACAAAACGCCATTTTAGATATCAATTCTGCTACCAGCGAACTTATTATTATTATAATTATTATCATTATTTTATACTGCCAAAATTTTTATAGCAGAAGGTTTGGGACTTACAAATAAAGACTTTGCGGCGGAATTGATCAATCAGTTCCCGCGAACCAGACTAAAAAACAGCTCCTCACTTGACTCAGGTGATGATCTCTTCTCATTTGCTTATATACCTATCGCTTTCACGGACAACAGTTCTTTTAAAGATTTTTGGCATCGGAAGATCAGACTATACGATCGACTGTTGATCTTTTTGAGGGATAATAGGAGTCTTTACGCTAACCCTATGTAACTTCGTTGTCGATGATACACCATAAGAATAAAATTTCCTTCGAAGCCGAAATTAATAAATATTTAACCACGCTTAATTTTTATCTTTCTACTGACATCATTGACAACCATATGGAAAGCTATCTATCCTATGGAAAAGCAAACTTTTTCAAAATATTTTTGTTACTTCTTCAAAAAATATCCCGTAATGTTTCAAAGTTGCGAGTACCTTTGCAATTATCCCAAAGCTTGTCTTTGTCGTAATTGTCAGTAGTTGCGCACCATGGTTGGTTGTGATTGTTTTTAATGCAAGAATATTTCATTTGGCCTTCATAGATGAAAGGAAACACACAGCATTTGCCTCTTGTCGTCTTGTGCGTACATCCTGCATTGACAAAGAAAAGTAATACCACGATCATTTTAGGTCATACTCGAGAGGATTCTAGTTTATTACACAGAACGTCAAGCATTCTGGGTCAGCTTTAGCTGTAGAAATATGTCTGTTCTGAAAACGGCACGCCTCGTGCTTGCCATGCCAGTAATTTTTTGTTTCATAAAGAGATTATACCCGATTATGCCGTCGGACTCGCTTTGTGGATAAACAATTCTCACCAGTCATCTCTTCTAAATCAATCTTTAATAAATGAAAAATATGGCTTGACTACTTAACTTAATTTAAACTTTATTTTGTCTTGATGAAATAATGGCCGGAAGGAGACCTACCACCGAATTAACCACTGAGGGCTTCACGCTTAGAAAGAAATAGTTTTATGCTCTGGATTAAAAATTGATTATATTATATCATTTTCACCTTCAGTAACTTTCTCTCCATCAACTGTGGTTGTAACGCAGCCGGTCATTTCTGTCCTGACACAGTAACCATCATTCGTACCAAATGTGGCATACTTAGGCTGCACACTGACTGACTGAACCAGTCGAGGAACTGAGAATTTCCTCGTACGTTCACTATTCCCTCTCAGGTCTTCGTTGGTTTGTTTGAACAGCTAGAAAGGAAAGATGTTTTTAAGGGCAGATGAACTGTTGATGTGGTCGAAGCGAGAGAACTGATATAATATGAGATTGCAAATCACTTACGGCATGAAAAGCGAGATTGCTAATGGCCTAGTGAGGGCTTTGACGAAGGTGAAGAGGGGGGAGGGGTAGGGGAAAATACATTAAACAAGGTCATTTTCGCCCCTCCCTAGGGTCCAACTACTCACGAGACATTCTTTTTGATATTGAGTTAATTCCTTCAAATCCGATCCGTTGAGGCCGTAGCGAAGGCAAAACTTGTACGGCCATTCACTTGCATCTTTTGCTCCTTGCACTACGACTTTGGAAATATTGAATGGCTGCCCTGTAAGAAAAACTCACTATCAATATATTTTCGTCAACAAATTTTTAGCGAATACTACTTTTGATAATTCAACGGCACTATTCCACACTTTGTTCCATCAATGTTTCGCACATGTATTCCCTCGATTGCCAAAACGTGTGACACATAAACAGTGAGACCGGGTTGCCTAACGGGTATAAATGTACATAATTGCCGGAATCAAACGCATGTCGTAAGTGATGGAGGTCATCCAAGCTTTCCATGACTATTGAAACAAGTTAAGCACAGATTATGTTAATACATAACAAACATCGACCAAAGAGGCCGTTAAATTACAACGTTTTCGCCATCGAGTATAGACGAAGAAATTAAAATACTAACCGAGATCCATTTGAAAGAAATGATGATGAAACGGCAATGCAACGGATTGAATAGGACACCAAGCCACAGGTCCGTCGATCAATGGAGGACAAGAGAATCCTGAGCGAACATTTGAATGATTGCACATGATGAGGTTACCTGCCTCCCTTAAAACTGAAACTTTGGTTGCTGTGATACAAAGGATGAAATGAAATATTCACTTTTAGAAAAACTTTTTATACCGATTGTGTGGCAAAATGGAACATTGATAAGTCATACAGGAAATTTGGCGATCTGCTAAAATTTTTTTAAAATAGTAATAGTTAGCTTGGTTTTTTATATCCTGTAACATTTTTTTAACATCGTTTCTACTTTCATGTATAAAGTCAAACAAAGAAACAGTAAACCAAGAACGTATATCAAACTCAATTCACAGATTTAAAGAATCTTGTCTACGCCAATTCATTGAATTTTACCCGGTGCCAAAGAACTTTTTAAAGGCAAAAGGTATTTCAATTAGTTTAGAAGATCAAATATTCAGATTGTGACGTAGCTACGTACTTTTAAACATTTAACACAAAAATCTGAAATGATATAAATTATGCCATACATGTGTTGTATTTTCGAAACACGTCTACTCTCAGGCACAACCCATCACCCTTGAATGGTCTCCAAGGACTAAAACTCAAATATTGGGCTTCTAGTGACCCAAGACTCGGTGTGACTTCTGTTTTAGCGTTTGAACTAGCAGTGGAGAGGCTGATCTATAAAGGAAATGATAACATCAATGCCAAAGTAGTATCAGTTTTGCCAAAACTTGTTATTCTTAAGTTGGTCACCGAACTCGTTACTTTGTTGTTTGTTGGCGATCAATCGATTGATAACTAATAAATGATTAAATAACTTATAATCTGTCTAGCTAACTGATGGGTTGCGTTAGATGCACTACCTTCATCATTAAATGCATTTCTTACCAGACAAGTAGATTCGTTTCGAATGATCTCTCGTTCTTGACCGCCATTAACAATGGAACCAAAACAGTAGTTGTCAGGATAGTCCACAGAATCTTTTTTACCTTGTAAGGTCACTTTATTCAAATAAGTCTCTCGCCCTTGAAAACAATGTTTCAGCATAAGAGAAAATTTCGATCTCTAACATATACTATAACCTACGTTATTAAGACTGTCCAAATCGTTTTAACTCGGCTATTTACAGAGGGTGTATGTAGCCTAATTGCTTAACTCGTCTCAACCGAATCCAGTGAGCATCAATTTAGAGGACTTGAGTCAAGGACCACCAGCGTGCCTGGGAGAATGAAATCATCCGAGTCTTCCTAAGAAATCGAACTTACGGTTTTTGCATTTTCCACGCCTATACTCTACCCCAAGTCGAACTCAGTAGCGAGCTCTGTATTACCCTTAAAAATCCATATTTATTTTAAGAAACTTACCCAGATCAACCTTAAGTTTCCGGACTGGGTCGTCTTCCTTTGGACACCAAGAGTAGTCGCCATCTAAAAGAGGAACTCGCCAGGAAGAGTTGTAGGATGATCCTTGGATTGTTGAGCTCGATAAATGAATAAGGCCATCTTTGAGTAGGTCACCACACTTAGCTAGCCAAAGAGAAGCAAGATCAGTGTTATTGAAATTGGCTGAAACTTATCCTTGGTAATGTTTGATCAAAGCGACAACGTTTGCTTTGCTTCAAAAGCTTAGGTGGCTCTGAATCTACAGAATAGGTGAACTCTAATTTGCTAATTGTTAATCAGGAAATAGAAAGTGGAGGTCACCAAAGCTTGTTTTTAGTTGCAGGCATAAAAATCCAAATTGAACATTGTTTTAACGGCTAATGCGTTGCTTCTCCGGCATGTTAACATATTATATCAAATATTGATCATCCCTTGACAAGGAAAAATTGCCTTTTCCTCAAAACCCTATCCATCAATTACAGATCTAGAATAAGCGTTGAAAAATATGGACACCCTTTGGAGCCATGTAATAAAGCAGATGAGTGATTAGGGTGAAGAGCTCGAATTCGGTTTTTATGATCTCACCTCCCACGAGGTACACTTCGTCTTCATTTCCTGGACCACAACCTTCCAAATCCGTAAAATCGATGAGGTGTGCATCTGGACCAGAGTGGCAAGCTTTTAAGTTGTGCATAACGAACAGTTTATAGCCTTTCTTGGCAGTCTCTAAAGCACATTTCTTGACCACATTTTCTCTGGTCTCAAAATCGCCATCAAGGTATGTTGCATTGTCTGACTCTAGGGATGGAATGGTCTGAGAGGCGTTCGTGAAGCAACCCAGTCGCAGATAATCCACAGATATACCTTTGGAAAAGCAAAAAAAAATAGGCATTAGAATTGAATATGAAAAAAAACTATAAGTTCCTTAGATAAGGCGATGAATGGTATATTTACGCAATGATGTTAGAAAAATCTCAGCATCGTCAGGGTTCCCTGACAACTTTCGGACTCCTGCTAAATCCTACACCTAAGTGAAACGAGGCGCCGAGAAAGTGCCCAGGCCTCCGTGTCCCCACCTTGCTTAAGAATACAACCATAAACGCTGCGAAAAACTGTGGCTAGGGTTTGAAACGGATCTCTTAGTAATCTCAAAACAGGAAGTAATGAAAAAGTCTCCTAGTTTTACTTACTCATCTCACAGTTGTCTCCTTGAAATTCTGGTGGACAAGTGCATTTGTAACCACCAGTAAAGCTAGTACAATTCCCATTGTTACTACATGGAGAGCTGACACATTTGTCGACAACTGTGGAATAAATTTAGGTACCACAGTCATTTCAAATCACACTTAAAACATGTGAGAAGGATATTCCTTTGGTAATCTTTGATCTTACAACAGGAACTTGACAAATAATGAAACTCGGATCCGACCAATGTGTTCACACCTTTTATGAAAAAGCGGCACTATAAACAATGTTAAAATTTTTTTTTTGACAATTTAAAATTAATATCAATATTTCATATAAATGTGACGTCATATCTAAACAGTCACGAGATAAGCACTAATAAAGACGTTTTACGATCATGTACCACTACATCTGTAATATTTTGGGGCTTACAAAAAAAGCTAAGGACAAAAATACAAATGGATAAAATGGTTCATTTAAAAAAAAGACTTGCCTTCACATATTCTCCTAGCCAAAGTGAGGTTAAAATTCTGTGATAGCTCCGTCGTATTTGTAGCCTGCAACAAGTGGTCTTCTTTGGGATTTGAAGCGATCTCGCTTAATTGACCCAGAGACACCTGGCTCCCGATTGCCACAGAAAACAAAGTTACGTTGGAGTTTTTTAAGTTAATTGTTGGAATAGCGATGTCGTCATCAGACTTCTGGGAAGTGATAACGACAACGATAGTAGCAACATCCATTCGCGAGTAATTGCCATATAGCCAATCTTTGACTGATTCCAGTAATTTACCCAAAGACACTTGCGAACTGTTTGGAAAATGCTGCGCTGTGGCATTTTTCAGGTCTTCTTTCGTTTTATAGACCCTCGTCTCATTTCCAGCCAGTGTGATGATCCATGTTTTATTGGTTGCCAAGTCAAAGTTGCTCGATGAATTAAAGATAAAGCTGAAGATATTTTGGAAGTTCGCCTCGCCCAGCGTGTAGGATCCTTCCACAGAAAATACGACATTCATTTCTGTGGAACAAATGGCTGAAAAAAGATAAATAAATAAATAAAAGAGGAGGAGAGGAAAAGTCCCGAATGAATTGAATGCCTTATCGATTCGGGCGTACAGGTTTTTAAACAAAGCAAGAACAAGTCGTCTCCCTAACCTCCTCTCACCTCTCCCCACTCCTCCCCCCTCCAACTCTTTAAGTGAAGAAGAGTGATATTGATTATTCAAATTGAGGAGCATAAGCAAAATGAAGAGGGGTTGCCGCGAATTAAAACGACCAGTGTCCTTCTTTTAAAATAAACCTACGACTTTAAATCTATTATAAACATGTGCTCTTCAAAGTTGAATATATCTCAATTTATGTTGGAAACCACCAGCAGGTCGTTAAGGTGACTTCGAAAACCACAGAGTATTTACGTCACAGTTGTTATATTCAGATAGTTGTTATTCAGATATGACGGCACTCTTCCAGCTCTGCTGATTACAATCTTGCTCCAAGGGTCTGTCGATGAAGCGAGACGCTGAAAACAAGATTTTGTCGATGAAAGCGGCAGCACCTCTCTCAAATAATGGATAGGCACAGACTTTAAAACTTCTTATTAAATTACCGTGGAACGTGAGCAGGTTTTTTTTATATATTCCGGTCCCCTTAGTTTCCTCTGCACGTAGCTTTTACGCCACTTCCGATGAAAAGCCATTCGATTAGTTTTAGTTCTGGTTCAGTTGATTAAAGTAGTTAGTTATTCGTATTGCAATGAAAAACGCTTTACGCCCGTTTCGCTAATCGTCGAGTTCGCTATATGTTCGTTACTAACATGCCGAAATCGCCGCCTCTGTTAATTCACAGTTTTAATTTCTCTTTTAACCATAAACCACGAGCAATATCTGTAATTTATACTCCCAACTTCGTGACTGCCGTCTTTAGGAGTCAGTTAAACTGATCATATGCAAATTACCTTCCAGTTTGCTTTTAACCGCCTCGTTGATTTTTGTGATTGTTGCGAGGTTACGTTTCACAAGTAAACATGATTGTAGGGTGGAACGTATTGATGAAGTCAACAAAATTGTAAGCTTCTTTCATAGAAATGTCCCATAGTAAAAAGATGTCATCAAGAAATCTAGATTAGAGGGGACTAGCCATTAACAGTCGTTTTTCTAGGTCTCACTCCATTGTGAGCGATGCACGTGCTCGACAAGTAGCGAAACTTAACTTTTACATGCAGTCGTTGTTCTAGGTCTCACTCCATTGTGAGCGATGCACGTGCTCGACAAGTAGCGAAACTTAACTTTCAGTTAGTTAGCCTTGAAGTTCTGTAACGTCACATTTATCCGGAAATTAGTCAAATTTTTTTGGCCGTGCGTAGTACTTATTCAAATCAAGTTTAAAGTGAAAATAACTGGGTTATTACGTGTTTTGATTTAAGAATAGTTTGTACTTTTGTCCACATTACATGCCCGGACTTGCCACTTACTTCTCTCGTTCTTATCGAGATTTTCAGCTGGCAAATAAACGTTTCCTTTACAATTTATGTTGTGAAAAGAGTTCAGAGAGCGAGAAGTTTTCGATGGCATGTTATTTAATCACTGAAAAGTGAATTCCGTGACAAGATTCACTATCAATTTATTCTAGTCCTATCAACATGAACAAATGTCCTTGAACAATCATCTTGTATTGTACTGCCGCAGTATTGATCCTACTAACCGCTACCAAAAAAAAAGATAAAAAGCATACTTGTTTATGCCCTAGAAACAATCGTACAAAATCTTCCGGGCATTGTTCCGATTATGAATACCTTTTCAAGTCTGTATTCTGTTAGGGAACGCTAAATTCTGTTTGTGTTTGCATACTTTACATGCAGATCAGCAGGCTCTCGTAACAAAGCAATTTAATCACACCGAAGACATCGCAAGCGAAAACCATGAGAGTATCTAAATAATTTCATACGAAGTGCTAACCACAGAAGTCATTTTAAACAACATAAACTTACCTTCGCTACTTATTGACCTGATCCATAGGAACAATAACAAGTTAAAAGACAATAACAATAATGATATCCTTGCTTTGTTTTTGAGTGCCATTTTTCTCAGGTTGGGTTAAGAGCGGCGCAAAGATTTCACTTTGCTCTCTGGCTTGTAAGTTCTATCGCAAGTGTAAAAAAAATCACAAATATCCATAAATCTGCATATTCACGTATTTTTTATCACTCAATATATCAATCCAAGTGTCGTCATGAAACAAACAAAAGCAAACGGAAACTTCAGGCTACAAAGACATCGATATTAGACCAGAAGGTAATGACAAATCTCGCACTTAAGATGAATATTCCTGGGCTATGTAACTCCGTGGAAATCCTAAACTTTTATCAATTATAATTCTGATAAATTCTGAGCGATAATTACGGGAAGATCATAAAATGGTTGCCTGTGACGCACAACAAATAATTGTTTTTCCGGTTGACTGAAAGATATATTTATGATCTGTGGGTCGTTTGCAGTCCGTTTGGAAAGAACAGGGGTGAAACTGCGATATGTTTTGTACTTTTTCAAGTTTGTTATTTGTAATCTTAGCAAATTTCCTCCGTCCTTAAGCTTCCTCGTTCCCTTCTGACTCACTCTTTTGTCTTTGACATTTATCCGTCCTTGCAATTTACTATTTTAAGTTGTTCATTTCGATTAAAAGCAGTTTATACAACAATAACTGTCGTGACGTAGATTGTGGCCCGCCATCATGGCGGGAAGAAGCAAAATTTTTAGTTCGCCTATACTTTGGTTTCTTTTTGGCTTTTCTCTGTACATATTGGCATGTTTAAGTGGCAAAGATGCACACATCGGACTAGATATGCGCCTCGTCAAAGTTAACAAGCAAAGCTGGGATAATCATTGGTTTTTGAAACCGATATCTTCCATTTTGTTTCGACTCAATATCCGCCATATTGGATTCGTGTGGAAAGCTCGAGTCAGATTCAGGAATTCGAGAGTCAACTACTACAGCAACTCCGATGCAAGCTTCAACTTTGAATATTTACAACTATGTGGCGACATATGTCCTAACCCGGGGCCTGCTTCCCTCTGTTTGATGCACTTCACGTGGTGAGAGACAATGGAAAGCAAGGAGTATCCATCGGTCACTCGAACGTGCGAGGCCTCCGTAAGAACCTCCCCGAAGTGAAAATACTTTTACAGCATACCAACCTGGATATCCTAACCATTTCTGAAACGCATCTGACACAAGATATAAGCGATAACGAAGTAAACATCGATGGATACCGAATTCTGAGAAGAGATAGGTCACACAAAGTAGGAGGCGGAGTCGCTATTTACTTTAACATTAGCCTAGATTGTGTACGTATATCCAAATATGACAACGACGGCATTGAAGCTCTCTGGATTGAATTGAAAGCTCACTCGCAAAGATTACTTGTGGGTTGTGTATATAGACCTCCTGACGTTACATCTTTCTTTGATGAATTCAACCAAGTATTGAGTACAATTTGGATGTCTCGCAGGAATGTTGTGATCGCTGGTGACTTCAATTCAGATCAGCTTGCTACTAATGGAAATGGTGCGAAATTCAAACGCATCTTACAATCTTATAACTTTTGTAACATCATAAAAGCACCCACAAGAACCTCAGCACATTCTAACACTTTGATCGATCTGATTTTGACTATCAATACCTCAAAGGTCTCAAAGTCTGATGTGATTGAGTATTGCATAGCTGATCACAAATTCATCTACGTTATCTACAAGCTGAAGATCAGGAATCCAAAGCCTTTTATTAAATATGTCCACAACTTCAAGAACGTGTTGGAAAACCCGAAAAGACTTCAAACATGACCTGGAAAGTGCTCCCTGGTGGGTCTGTTCCACCTTTGAGGACTTGGATGACATCACTTGGGCTTGGAATTGCATGTATAATATTATTGCAAGCAGTCACATTCCCTTACGTAAAGCCAAGGTTAGAAAAAATTCACTACCTTGGATGAACAGTGAGATCCGAAAAGAGATGAATAAGAGATATAAACTTCTGAAAGCCTGTGATGGCACACCCGCTACTAATAAACTCTGGGTTGATTACAAATCCTCTAGGAACAAAGTATCTAAGATGCTACGACGTGCTGAAGCTCAATATTGGAAAAAGAAATTTACAGAGACCAAGGACTCAAAATCTTTCTGGAAAACTGTGAACGAGGCCACTGGAAAACCTAAGAATAAACATATTGGCCCCCTCAGAGATGCTGAAAATAAGGAAATCACAAATGACTACGAGAAAGCTGAACTGATTAACTCTTACTTCATAAATATTGGCAAGGAACTAGCTGAAAAATTCCCCGAAGTTGATGATCCCCATCAATTCATGTACAGAGTTACCCCCACTGTGCAGGTCTTGGAGGTCAACATCAACAAACTCAAAACTGATATCAAGACAATTAAAATTAACAAAGCATCTGGTCCTGATGGCATCTCTTCTCGTAGCTTAGCTATTGCAGGAACATCCGCCCTAGAGGGCATTGTAACTGTTTTCAAGAGCAGCATGGCTCAGTCCAGCTTCCCTAACACATGGAAGATTGCAAAAGTTAATGCAATCTTTAAAAAAGAAACCCAGCAGATGTTTCAAATTATAGGCCAATATCACTTTTAAATATCCCCAGCAAGCTGCTCGAAAGCCAGATCTGCAACATAATTGATACCCATCTGAACAGCTGTGGCATAAAAAGCTGTAAACAGTGGGGGTTTAGCAAGGGACTATCGACTGAAGGAATGCTTACCTCTATGACTGAAGGATGGAAGACAGCAATTGACAATGGTCTGACAGTTGGAGCAGTCTTTATTGACTTCCAGAAAGCTTTTGACACTGTCCCCCATTATATTTTATCGCATAAACTACACGCCATTGGAATATCAGGATCTCTTCATGAATGGCTAATGAGCTATCTTACTGATAGATGTCAATTTGCTGAAGTTAATAATTGCAGGTCGGTCACTGACTATGTGCGATATGGAGTCCCTCAAGGCTCGCTTCTTGGCCCCGGCTCTACACCATATATGTTAATGATCTCCTGACCACATCGACTCGGGAGATCTATACATGTATGCAGATGACACTACAGTTTACTGTATTGGACCAAATGTTGACCAGGTTATGTTGTCACTAAATAAATCATTGGAGCAAGTTCTCCTGTGGAGCATTAAGAATCAGCTAACCATCCACCCAATTAAAACTGAAGCAATGATACTAAGTAAAACCTCTTTTGTTGGGCCTATACCTCCCCTCCACTTTAACACTGGCCATATCGACCTGGTTAATTACACCACTTGTCTTGGAGTTAAAATTGACAATAAGCTGACATGGTCTGTGCACATTGACTCAGTGAAGAAATCTTTTACGCAGAAGGTTGGAGCGTTGAAGAGAATGAGAATCCTTCCGAAGAAGGTTCTCGAGGAAATATACTTTAAAACAATTATCCCCAGTGTAACGTATGGAATTTCGGTATGGGGAAATTGTTCTCCTTCCGCACTGAACTCTCTAAACCATATTCATGCAAGAGCAGCTCGTATTGTGAATAACCTCGACTCAACGATGGCAGATGACACATGTCTCATGAAATCCGACTGGCTGCCCATCTCTTACTTCTATAAAAAATCTGTACTGTTCCTCTTGCACAAAGTATATTTTGGAACAACGACCCAGTCGATATGTGAACTGTTTTCTAAAAGAGTTTCTTCTAGATCTTCTCGTGTTCCTAACCAATTTAATGTCATTAGATTTAGATCAGAGACCGGCAGGAACTCCCTACGATACAGAGGTCCTGTTATTTGGAATTTTGTAAATAGATTAGTTAAAGTACCTGAAAGTTTTTATTCTTTTAAACAAATCTTACGTAAACATGTTAAGACTATTGACAATTTCTCATTTGAGAAAGAGGCAACAGTAGTTGCCAATAGAAAGGACCATTTCATTTACTTTTAGATTTATATGTTAGTCTTTGTGAACACCATTTTATTTGTATATAGTAGTTCTAAGTTATTATTGCAATTTTTATATATATGTAATTCCTAATATTTAGTATAGTAGGTCCACATCAGCCCTTTGGCTGCCTTTCACACAACCTACTTATCAAATAAAGAATGTATGTATGTATGTATGTATTGGAAGAGGTTCAATGTCCTCGCTCACCAGGTCACAAGAACAGGAAAATAACCAATTCCACGAAACAAAGCAATGAAACAAAAATGGCTTCTTCAAAAATTTCCATTAATTATCAAAAATTTAACTTAAAATGTTCTTGAACTACTACAGGTTGCGCCTTTTTATTGCTCTGTTACGTTATTTACTCCGGGCGTTGATGATTAATCCGGACTCTTATTCCCAGGCTACGCGCGGGAGAGACAAGAGAGAGATCCTTGGGACCAGGCTGTGTACTTATTGAACAGGTCCGTAGATCAAGAGATTGACATACACGGCATGTAATGTGTCATATAATGTTGATAACATTGGATTATGAGGCGAAGGCCGAGAGTCTCTCAAGAAATTGTTTCATGATTAATCATTGACACAAGAATTTTCGTGATGTTAGTTTATTTATGATTTTTTCTTAATTTACATATATGATATAGAATTTGTTTAAAATAGAATAGGTTTAGTAATTGTATACTACCTTAAAACCAGTTTTCCAGGGTCTCGCTGTTGCGCTGTTTTCACCCAACTAACAAAATTGATTTTTACGGTCTACAATGCTATCGAACAAGGACTTTGTATAACGTATCTATGATTTTAAACCAATCAAATCTTAAAGAAAGATCGTTTGGTTTGATACTCTAAATTAGGCACCGCAAAGAGGTATTACCCCTCTTTACGGTGGCCAATTTACCTCATCGATTCTGTTCATAAAACCAAACTATCTTGTAATTTCCTCACTGAAGCAGCATCACAGTTTATCTACAAACATCAGTTTTCGTTACACATCTGTAAATAATTCTGCTAGCTGTCCAAGAACAAAGACTCTCATATCAGTCTAACGTGCTGGGGTACGCCTTGCAAAAGACTCCCTTACGTGGACGATGCTGTTTGGGGAACCTTCAAAAATAAAAAACTCCGCTTTTTAAACCACACAACAATCGTATTTCATGCCTCGGTTACAAACACGTTTTCTGTACCAATCGAGTTATCAATAACGTGAGCCTCAACTGTTTATAGGAATCTTAAACTATGCAACAAGAACTGCATGACAAATGCTGGGGTAGTGCAGTTTAAGACAGTCTATGGTACGATAAATAACTTGTGGAGATTCAAAGGAATGGAAAAACTTGACTCTTCTTCCTCTGGATTTCTTCCAACGTTGTCGTTCGGCGATCAAAGCTAAAAATCTGATTCAGAAAAACATGAATTAGAAAACGGTTTTTTTTTTCAAGGAGGCAGCAATGTGGAATGTATGATCTTTATGTCGCTTTTTTTGCCTCAAAAAGATGCATATCGCTATATGCAGCAAAAGTTTACTTGTTACCTTGTTTTCGTAAGAGAAAATTCCATCTTCGGCCGTCTGTTGCGGAGAAAATGTAAGCGTCCTCTTCTTCTGATCCTCTGATGGCTCCTCAGGGAAGAAAATATTGTCGTAAATATCCTCATAACCTTCGTTATCGCTGCCATTGTCTTCGTTATCGTCGTAGTCATCATCTTCTTCCTCTGACAACTCCCGATATCGAGGTAACTCAAAAAACCCTTGTTTTCTTCGTTTCTCTTCGAGTTTGCTCTCTGGGTAAACACTTTCATAAAAGGCGTTTTCACTGTGAACCTCCCCTGGTACCACTTCCTTTCCGTTCACCTCCACACTCAGCGTTTGTACTTCAAAAGCTGAAGGTAGATTCTCGTAAATATGTTCGTATTCTTCGTCATCTAGACTCTGATAATGCCGCTCAATTCCTTCCTCTTCTTCCTCGTCTCCAACGTAAGACTCGTACGCTTCGTTCCAGATTCCAATGCTATTCAAGGCTTTGTCAGGGCCCATCTCGATTGCAACAGTCTGCACCTCATACATGGGCAGATCAGAGGGGATTGTTTGGTAGATTCCTTCCTCTTCATCCATTGTTGAATAACCTTTCATTTGTCGTGAAGATCTCTTCCTGTAGAAAAAGAAAATTCAAAAATTAACAATCCATAGAAATGGTAGCCAATTTCTTAAAAACACCCCGCGAGAAGCTACTTGGCTTGAGCTTACACGAATACAAAAAACTGCATAAAACTAAAATGATAGACCATATAGCACTCTTGCTTAACAAGGATCTAGTCCTCGAAACATCATCTTTTCAAAATTCGGTGCCGAGGTTTACATACCTTTACTTATCTCTAACTGACATCAACCTTGTTGCTTCACTTTCCGGACGCAACACTAAAACAACGACTCAGTGCATGACCCTTTTTTCGTGTAATGTAATATACTCGATAACGTCACGAACTTTTATTTATTTTACCTATCAGCAAAATTTGCCGTCGCAAAATGAGACGCAAATCGTTTTCACTCACCGAAGATAACGTATAAGGAATAACAATGAGCCGCCCAAAAGGAGGGCACCAAAAACTGCTGGAATTACTAAAAATACAAGACAAATAATTAATTAGAAAACGGAGAAAAAAGATAAATTTAAGATTGATTTCCAAGATTTAAGAAGATTTTGTGTTACTGTGCTTTTCTACTGTGCTGGAAAGTTTGAGTCATCCTCTGAACCAATCAGATTTAGGACTAAAACCATCTGAGACTTGCATTGATCATCCTCGTTTTCCACGCGCGTCAAAAAAATTACCTTACTGAACTTTGAGTTCCCATTATTCCTAGCGTTACTTGACCTTTATTCTGATTGGACGTTAAAATTAATTTGGTTTGGTTTCACGAAACTCGACACGAAAATCTCTCTAATTAACATTATTTCTGAATTCGTTGTTGCAACTAATTAAAAAACATGTATATTTGCGCAAGAATTCATGACTTGAAAAAAGAGTAACAACTCAAAGCGGAGACCAAAAACCATAACCTACCTGCTATGATTCGATCAAACCCTATGCTTTCCTCTGGCGTTTCGTTATTCACTCTCTGAAGCAGTATGCCCGAAGAGGGGAAGTCCTCTGCAATGAGAATACATTAATTCTACCTGATTAATAAGTCTCCCTCAGGGCAGTTAAACTTTTATGAAAAATGTCTTAAAAGAATTTGACAATATATCATTATCGAGCTGAAATTAAATTAATCCATTCTCATTATCTGTTTACTACATTAGTTACCAGGTTTAACCCGGCAGCTAAGTTACTCACAATTAATACGCCAATACCTGCTTGGAGAATTTCATTTTCTACTGAGGGAAGGTAAGGACTTCTCATACGTTCTTACAAAGTGTAATTACCTGAGTCGCAGCCATATAAAGCGATGCGCATACAAGCAGACGAACCAGTGAAACTGACAGGATGAATTCGGATGTAATGAGCTCTCGTTCCTTCAAGACTCAGATTCTTACCTTGAATGTCATCATTTGCGTGAAACTGTAATGATAGACAAGAGGAACGCGTTAAGTGTCTTCATTATACATTCGAGACCACATGTATCAATACATGTGTATCAGTTATTTCAATGTACTAAATAACGACTTGCCGTAGTAAATTACCCTGTGTGAGTGCAAATTCTGCTCTCTGTTTGACCCATGTGCATACTTCGTGTTAAAGAATTCTATAAATTGGTCTGTTCGATTCCTGGACTGTCTGTCGGTCGATCGGTTTGTGGAGTGTCTACTTGTCTGCCTGAATTTCAATGTTTCATTTGCACACCTGACCTCACTGAATTGACCCATCTTACAGGAAATTTGATGAAAGTTCTCACTCTTAGGCAAAAATTAGCAACGGAATCTCCGTTCTTGCGAACTATTGCTGAATGGGTCTCTAACAGAAATTTAACTTACAATTCTAGTTACTCCTTGTTCAGTGTAGTTGACGAACGATCCAGGTTGAGAGTCGTTACTCATAGACACATAATAACTTTCGACCCAAGAGTTCGTTGAATCATCGGTGACACCTTCGGTCTCAATTACGGATACGTTTGTTAGGTACCCTTAAACACAGAGAAACGGTGGCAACAGTTATTCATTTGCTAAAATGACAAAGCAAAAACTACAGATGTGAAAGTAAATAGATGGTACTCGTGAGTAAAAAAACCAATAATTTAGAAGATAATAAATAACAAACAGAAGTATACCAACACGAATATACCAATGAATAAATACTTGATTCTTTGTAAAAAATAAAGGTAAGAGCGAGAAAACTGGCATAGGAAGTACCACTTAATTAGCACCATCGCAATAAAACAGACAGAGAAACACATACAAAAAAAAACCAAAAAAAAAAAACACTTTAAGCAACCCAGAAATCGAAGACTCGTTTTCACAATGGCTGAGATGGGAGGAGAGGAAATAAAGTGACAAGTCTAGCAACTTAATTTCACTTACCAAAGAACACCTGTAAATAAGGTGCTGTGTCTATAACGGATGCGCACCAGCCATCTTTCCATAAACCCATAGTTTCGACACCAATCCTCCCTCGGTATGCTGCTCGTCCTTCTTCTTTTTGGGAAGACGCTGTGATGTCATCATCTGGTATTCTTCGTTCATTTGGAACTTTTAGACCCAGCTCCCTGAATCCGCAACCTAAAGTAAAAAAATGCGATTACAGCGTTTAAACTGGAGAAAGAAATCAGTCAATCAAGACTTGTCCAGAATATAATTCGTGAAAGGGTTCAGAAAAACTAAACTCTCCGTAGAGTGTCTAGTCCGTTACGAGCGAATTAAACATTTACGGAAAATGAAAATGACCAAAAAAACAAAATAATGGAAACAGAGTTTTTTTTTTACAGTTAAAGCAAATATTTCAATTCCAGCGAGAACAGAATGTCAATGATTGATTTCGTCCTATTAGATTAAGAGTCTCGTTCGCTAAGACCACCGCGTTTCCGAGAGATCTTTGAAGGGATACACCTTCTTATTCAATTTCACGTCTACTTTCGGGGTAACAAGTGGTTAATTCCACATACCAAACTGACATTCCTGTCCATAGTATCCACGTGAGCATTCACAGCGGTAACTTCTCCCTGTGTTAATGCAAGTTCCCTCATTGATACACGGTGAAGAGTTACAAGTGCCATGATCTTCAACTGATAAACCCAAGAAAAAATGATTCATTTCATTTCATCTATCAAAGCAACAGTTACAAACAAATTTACAAAATTTCGTTAAGAACCACTTCCTAAATAAATTTTGACCCGGTATTGAACATGGAAACAGTTTTTTTCCACTCCACAAAAGGCCCCCGTGTCCAGAAAACAAACAACTTTTAAGCAGGAAGTCCTTGGAGGTAGTTGCTCGATGTAGTGGTCTTGTCAATGAGTACATCTCTAGCTAAAATGACTTAGAAAGGAGACTTAGGTAGAAAATTTGTAGAGGATTTAGGTGAAATTATACCTCAAAAATTTTATGTTAACATACATAAATTCCAATTTATCTTGGCCAATGTCAGTGATGAAATTCCTAGTACATGTAGAACTTGCCAGTCAGTCAGTTAGTATATATGCGACATAAGATTGTTGTGATCTCTATAATAACCATACATTTAAGTCCCAGTCAGCCCTGTTAAGATACTTACGTGAACAGATTTTTCTTTTCAGCTCCGTTTTCAAATTTTCCAAACCATCAAACGTCGTTCTATAAACTAACCGTCCATCATCGCCGCTGATTTCTCGAAGTTCATCTTCATCATAATCATCACCGACCCCGACAGCAAATATTGTCACGTTTTTGTCACGCAATTCCTTTGCTGGAGTTCTAATCAGATCATAAGAAGACCCACTAGTTATTAACACCAGGTAATTTGAAACGTCTCTCCGAAGTTTAGGCTCTGAGAACATCTTATGTCGCATGTAGTTCAATGCTTTCCCAATGTGTCTTCCCTGATTCGGGTAACGGACGCCATTCACTGCTCTTCCAGCTTCCGATGAGTTATGGTACTCTCCAAAATTGAACACTTGGTAAACATCAGTAGAGAAGACTGCTAAGCCAACGTGAGCTCTATCCTCAGACACATCAAGATAATCGATGAAACCTTTTACAAATTCAAGTGTCTTGTTAAAGTTTCCACTACCAGAGAGTTCCACGCTGGCGGATCCATCAATCAGAAAACCGACGTTAACAAATTGGCCTTCACACCCTACAAAAATTTGAACATCTTACATTTGAGTTACAACAGTTAAACTCAACGACATAGCGAAATACATGATTTTATGGCAGGAATTAGTTCGTGCATCTTTATTAGAACGTACATGGGTGATTCGAATGTCTTCCAAAACTAAGTCAGTCAGTCAGTCAGAGAGATAGGCATATTTGCAGAGAACTCCAGATGGACAAGCAGAGAACGATGGATTTACCACTTAGCAACTTCCTACTTAGCACCTATTAAAACTGCACTCAGTACTTACGAGTCTGACAATGTTCCCCAGTAAATTTGACTGGACATTTACAGTAATAGCTTCCTGGGGTGTTCATACATTGTCCGCCATTGAAACAAGGATTCTTTGTGCATTCATCCAAGTCTGGAAAAAAAACTTTCATATTTATCGCATGGCCGTACGCGACGGCACGGGTGGGGTCGGGAGGAGCCATACTATCCCGCGAGATACGAGGTTCAAAAAATGAAGGAGGGAAAGAAGAGCAGTGGTTATTTGGTACAATTTTTATGGACTGAGTTAGCTCGAACCAGACAGGAAAATATTTATTTCACTTTAAGTAGGTTTCTCCACTTACCCTCCTCACAGTTAGTGCCATTCCATCCAAGAACACATTGGCACTGAGGAGTGCCGTCATCTCCGATTGTACAGTTTCCATTATTATAGCAAGGAAGTTGAGAAAGAATACAAGGTGATCCATCTAAATATCACAAATAGACAACATTAATTCTCAACAATGAATTTTTTTTACTATCTGCAAGAAAATATATCAATTGAAACTTTAAAAAAAAACAACAACAACAGCAACATAAAGAACGAAACCGAAAAAAAAAACAACAGCAACAGCACGCAAACTGTTTTTCATAGCACATCGTTGCTTGGTTAGGGTCAAAACTTGCCACTTACCAACTTCACACTGTTTCCCAGCCCAGCCAGACTTGCAAATACAAGTGTAGTTTCCTGAAGGATGATTGACACAACTTCCACCATTGAAACAAGGATTGATTGAACAAGGATCCACATCTGTCAATAAAACAATGCTGAGATTAAGGAGGAGATAATCAGCTGGCATCATCGATGAATTCTTTTTTTTAAGTAACCTGGGAATGATAACTATGTGCAAAAAAAATGTTTCTGACCCCTTTTTCTCTTTTCATCTTCGGTTGCTTCAAGAAGACCACAACTGATAGGGAATTAATTCTCTACCCTTTACCGTATCTATTTATAAGATCTCTGTATGAAACAGATTTCTTTACCTTTAACAATCGCATCTTTCAGGGAAGCCATTACGGGACCAAGTCCCTCATAATCATTCGTAGTAAACACATGTTCTGAGTTGGGTTCTGAAGCCATCTCGTTCAACTGACCACTTTTGTACCGACCAATACCAACACTAAATATTGTAACGTTGTTTTCTTTTAAAGCGAAAGAAGGGACAGCAATGTCATCGGCTGAACTTCCGTCTACTATGACAACAACGATGTCTCGAGATTTTCTGCCAGTAAGTCCATTTGACTGATTAAATAACTCCCTGCTCGTTAGTTCCAAAGCTTTTCCAATATATCTTCCTTTACCAGTTGTATTCAAATTGTCCAATTCAACTTCAAGCTCTGAATGCGTGGTGTTGTCCAATCGCTTCTTCAAGTAAGGGGTGTCAGAGTACCCAATAATCCCTATGTGTGATTCGTCCCCATCATCCTTAAGGGTTTTTACGATGCCTTTAACGAACCCCACTAGCTTTTTAAAGTTCCCCTTCTGATAGTTGTCGATGTCATCTCCAGTGTACACAAGGAATCCGATATTGAAAGTACCTGAATATTCTATGATGAACAGAAAAAGATATAGTGGATATAATCGGTGCGAGGTTGGATGACATGGTTGACTCATAACAGGTTTGAAAAGTGATTAAAACATACATGAACAAGATTGACTAGCATAGTTAAAGCTATCAGTACCTCGGTTGCAAGAGTTTTCTTTGTCGAAAAATCCTGGTCTGCAGTTACAAAATGAAGTTCCCGGGAAATTGATGCATATTTTTCTATCTCCACAGCCCATATCTGCGCACTCGTTAATATCTGGGTAATAATTCAGACATAAATCACATTTAGGGTTACAACACAGTGGAATTTCATCATTGTGTTTTTTAGTAGATCGTTCTGTACTACACCAATCACAATAGAAAAACGAAGTTGGCGTACAGAGAAATACAAGTATCAAAGAGGAAGGAATAAATCAAAAGACAACGAAGATGCTTGGTGTATGAGAAGATTCAAGCGCATTACACATAAAAGAATTTGAATAAATTGATGCTATGCACAAACATAGACCCTTTAAAGGAAGTGTAAAGAACCGATAGACAAGATTTGCACATTTTACACTTGTGCACCTACCCATTTCACAATTGACTCCCGTATAACCAGATGGACAAGCGCACTCGTAACTGTCCACTAGACTTTCACATGTTCCACCGTTGTTGCAGGGATTGCTGTAGCAGTAATCCACAGCTTCACGGGAAGAAAAAAAATTGTTATTTTTGAGGGGACCAGAGAATGGATAAAAAAGGCAAGTGAAAAAATAAGCCCCAATATTTATGCGATGACGCTCCCTATGTTGTGGAAAAGCAGCAGATCTTACCGTTACAAAGCGTCTCCTTTATCCTGTCAGCTGTAGATGGAAGCTGATCATAGGATGGAGCCTCAAACACATTGGACGGTGTAGATGCTATCAGTTGAAGCTCTTCTGCTGCGTAGAATTCGCCGACACCCACAGCCAGAGTCACAACCTTCATTGCTCTGAGATGAGCTGATGGCAAAGAAACGTCATCATTGGACACTCCATCTGTGAGAGTCACAAGGCAGTTGTGTCTTCCAGATTGCGCCTGCGCAAAGAGATCATTCTGAACAGCCATGAGGGCTGAGCCCGTGTAAGTACCATTTGCTGGATAGTCCATGGAGTCGATCATTTGGTTGATGTCTGGTTTAGCGTAATGCGTTTGGAAGGTAAACTTAGTTATGGTGAGTGACGAATAGACCACTAAACCGACATTAGTGTCTTCTTTATCAACCTTGTAGAAGTCGATCACAGATTTGACCAACTGTTTGTATTGAAAAGCAGCGGATGAGTTGAGAGTTTTCATGCTGGCTGAGCCGTCAACTAAGAAAGCCAAGTTGAATTTCTGGTGTTTGCAAACTGCAATGAGAAAATATGAAGAACACTTCCTATCATTTCTTCACTTATCAATTTATCAGACGCGCACTCGTGGAACGTTGTGTGGCATCGCAATTATCGGCTGAGAAGGAGACTAAAACTTACCTGACTGACAGTTGGTTCCCAAATATCCTGATGGACATGCGCATTGATAACTCCCCGGCAGGTTGTTACAGTGACCATTGTTCTGGCAAGGATCCGAGTCACACTCGTTTATATCTGACAAATTAAATAAGCATAAAGAAGTCATTTCCATTTCAGTATCACGCCCTCCAGAAAGATAGACATGCCTGTGTGTAAAATCTTGCATCTTAAAAATTATTAAGTCCTCCCTTTCCCCTTTTCTGCCTGAATGTTTGATTCTTTCAATGTACCACATACCGTCTTCACAGTTGTCTGATGTAAAACCAGCCACACAGCTACAGGTGTACGAGTATCCAGATCGAATGCAATGTCCTCCGTTCTGGCAAGGATTCGGAAAACATGGGGATATTTCTGGGAAAAAGTAAAAAGAAAAAAAATATATTCTCAAAATACAAATATTTAAATGTTCAAGTGACACGTGCAGTCTCTTCTAAGAACTTGTTCAAGTAGAAGTAGAAATTATTGAAGGCTTGCCAGTAAGACACTTTTAATGCAATCACATAAGTCATTATACAATGGGTCATAATGTGTCATATTTGAAAGGTCACCTTGGTCACATCTGCTTCCTGAGTATCCCTGTGGACAATTGCATCTGTATCCATCTTCATTTGGAACACATGTACCGTTGTTGCGACACGGTGATGACGAACAAGGATTTAACGCTGCAATATGGAAGAGTGTTTTTTCAATCTTACAAAAGTATGCCACGCACAAATGTATTCATTATTTAGCAATGGTTGTTCACATTTTTGGCTTGTTGAATAAAGTATGAACACAGGCAAAGCATTTTGGTTGAAGAAAACATCGCTCGGCTCGACTTGGTGTGTCACGTTTTGCCGGTCACTGTTTTCGAGGTGCTCGTTTGCAGTCTCAGTATCCCTCATCCTCCTTCATCTTCGCTCTTTTTATGTTTGATCCATCCATTTTGGTATTTTTCTATCCTAATAAACTTATATTTTAATCCTCTTTTTCACGTAAGAGGTAATTTCGGGCATAAAACAGGTAACGAAGCATGATTTCGTGACGTAGTTGTAATAACAACAAACACAACTAATGCGCTTATCCTTGAACAAAGCACAAGGGAAAAAGGATTCGACAGTTTCTTAAGAAGCACACAAGGACTTACCCATGCAGACAGAGTCCTTCATCTCTTCTGTAAACAAAGCCGTGTCTATATCCCAAGACTTAGAATACTTATAGTACATCGACATTGGTTTAGAGGCGATTTCTTTCAGTTGCCCTTTCGCCATCTTGTCTCCATTACCAACTGCAAATATTTTGACGCCGTATTTCTTGATGGCCTGTGAGATTTCGCCTATAGCGTCTTCAGATCTTTTGTTTTGTAGAAGGATAATGACTTTGGGGACACCATTGCGACCATACTTAGCAAAAACCTCGTCCTTGACATACTTTAGACCTTTCCCAACGTAACGCTTCTTCTTGTTAAGCAAATAAATCTTGGAAATAACTTTATAAAGGTCTGTATAACTAAAATGATCATTCAGATTGAGAATTATTTGAGAATCGTCGCCATAAAGCACCAAACCAACATGCGCTCCTTGTTCAGAAACGTGGAGTACTTTCGCGACATTTTTGATGAGTCGTATAATTCGTAAAAAATTTTCCATCTTGGCTCCTTCCGTCCCATCCGCAAGAAATACAATATCCATCGTGGTATTACAAGCTGCAAGGAGGAAAAAATTACAATTACGGCTGACCTTTCTAAGAGTAACAATATCAGAAGGTCATTTAATGTTCAACTTCCAAAAATGATGTCTGTAACTTCTTCTCTCAATATCAATACCATTACACGTGCGATGGGGTGAGACAAATTCATCAGCGAGATAGTTTTTTGGTACGAGACCAAATTTTGTAAACTGATTTTCAAGAGGTACTAAGCAGCAAATAGAGAAAATTCCCAAACAGATCTACGGGTTTAAAACAATTTATTCAGAAACCGAGATATAAGGAGTGAAGTACCATTTTATGATTTTTTCTTTGCTTTTCTGCGTGTTTTTTTTTCTTTACCTTTGTCGCATTTTTTCCCGTAGAATCCGTTCAGACACACACACTCATGTGATCCAACCTGGCTGATACAAACTTGTCCTTCGCTGCAAGTGTTGTTTACGACACAATTGTCTATTACTGCAATTGAAGAAAGGATCACACTCGTAAACAAGGCATACATTATAAACTTGAAATATCAATTTAACAATATAAATAGTGAGGTTGCTAGATCTTGGGAGTTCAATAAAGAGTAATGATTACCCGTCCGTACCTTCTTCACAGTGAGTTCCCTTCACTCCTTTAGGGCATGCGCACTCGTATCCATGCAAAGAGTTGTGGCATGTTCCGTTATTCATACACGGACTGCTGAAGCAGTGGTCAACGGCTGATATTTAAACAAAAAGAAGCAATCATTTACAATGTCCACAAGAAATGTTCTTTATCGTCACTAAAGCAAAATGCAAGTCACCCTGGGAGCAAGATCGAACGGATACTGCAATACTATGAATCATCAGCATGTACATTAAAAAATTCCAATGATCTCTTGTCTTGATTACAATTTTTATTCACCTCTTCTACCCCCCTCGCCCAGCCCTCCCCTCTCACCAGGTTTCGTCTTTTCAATTTCTTGAGACGAACGTAAATAAACTAGATGTAGAGAGGCACTGTGTCTTTTCCACGAGAATAAAAAAACAACACGGTTTTGAAGATGTTTCGTTTCAATCTGCGTCCATCATCTTCATCCTTAATCCTCCTCAGTCCTTTTTAGTTTAATCTCGTCACTATTTTTTTATATAATCAAACTGATATGTTCCCGTAACACAAAATGACTCAAAACCTCGGGAATAGGCAGTAATAAACGCAGCTACATAAAACTGCATTACGCAAATTCAGGAACAGTGTACGAGGAGAAAAAGGGTAAAACGATTTCTTTACGGGAAAACTAGGATTCAATAACCATAAAAGGTACTCTTTCCACCAAGCATCCGCAAACACATGCAAATAACTCAGCCTTACCTTCACAAATCATTTCATGGATTTTCCAACTCATATGTACAAGTTGGTAGTAACTTGTGAAAACAATAGTGTTTAAATGTGGTTGGCTTGCCACGACTTCAACTTGTTTGATATCGTACCAGTCTCCCATAGCAACAACTAGAATTGTTACGTTCATGTTATGGAGTAATTTCGATGCAACTGCGACACCATCGTTTGACGTCCCAGCAGTGAAAACAACAAGAACACGGTGAGTATTTTTTCGGCTGTTGTTGAAGAATCCTTGTCTTGTATAATTCAGCGATTTTCCAATCAGTGACCCAGGAGGAAGTGTAGGTAAGTTCTCTAATGACTGCAATGTTTGGTTTCGAGTGTAATTGTAGTAACTTTCTGTTTTCATAACCGACGAATACAGGACCACTCCAATTCTTGTGTTAGGATCGTGAAGATAGCCCAGGATAAACTTAATAATGTTTATTATGTAGACAAAATATCTATTTCCTGTGTTCTGGTTGGAAGATCCATCTATCATAAAGACCATGTCAATCATGGTTTCTTTGAAGACTGTAAAAATAAAAGTTATATCCAAATGTGAGATCTTTTGAAGGGCATATAATTAAACTAACATTCATAAACAAGGCAAAACCGGCAGATAAGACTGCGAGAATTCCTTAACATTTGTTCATCTGTTCGTTTTTTCTAATCCCAAATCCTTATCTTTCGTTAGCTATGTTTTTTTCTTGTTTGTTAGTCTCTGTCATCACACAACACCTTCAGAGTTTCTACGCTCCGCAACTGATTACAGTAAAGTCGAAAAAGGTAGAAGTATTTCAAAGCTTCAAGGAACCTAAGGAGTCTGATGTCTTGAAAAAAATTTTGGTTTCAAAATATTAAAAGTTCGTGGGACATTAAAGTCAGTTCTGCCTAATCATGCTTTGCATGAAATTGATAGAACACCTATACGTATTCACCTTTATCACAATTTTTCCCAGCATATCCTCCTGTACAGTTGCAGTGGTAGTCACCCATTCGTTCTTCACAAGTTCCTCCATTCTGGCAAATTTTGTGCGGTAATGAACATTCTTTGATGTCTAGTGAGACGAAGAAGAAGATAAACAGATTAAAAAGTCAAAGAGCTTTGGCTTAAAAACATACAGATCAAAATTACGCGACTCCATTTATTTACAGATAACTTTTAGAAAAATAAGACCTCAGTTCATTTGCCTTGGACAAATGTTGTGTCAGTAACTTGCTTACATTTATAAAGTTACCAACCTTCTTCGCAGTTGGGTCCGGTCCAGCCCGGTGAGCATGCGCAGTAATAGGAGTTGAGTGGCAAGACTTCGCACGTGCCAGCATTTTTGCAAGGATCAGGATTGCATGGATCATGAACTAAATATAAATTACAACTTTTAAGTACATACTTAGTTTGAAAGCCAATTTTTTTCAATGCTTTGCACAGCGACAAGTGAGGGTAGGTGGAATATCAGCTAAAATTATCTTAAAAATTAAGGAAACTGACCCCGTTTAAGTACTGCATTCCCTTCCAAACGGAACGAGATAAGTGACATTTATATCAAAGGTACAAATCCCTCTTAAGATATTTTGAGATTAAGGTATTTCGTTTCTCGGGAATGCTTGAATGTTTTGGAGAAAAACCAATTGTCGCCACTTCGCAACGTCCATTTCACTGAGAATCTCGCGCAACAAGGGTTATCAAAAAAGTAAGGCATAGGTTATTGATGTCGCATGCAAGGAAACCTCTCTTCTTTCTAAGCCTCATCTGAAACTATCAGATATAATAAATATCCTATTGTGCTGACCTTTATCGCATTTCATTCCTGAATATCCTGGATGGCAAATGCATACGTAGCCACTTTCTGAAGATTCACAAGTTCCATTCATACAAGGATTTCCGGAGCATGGGTCAAGTGCTAAGATATAATGATAAAACATTCTGTTCTAATTATGCAGTTTCAGTTTTAGCCCTCTCCGATCAATCTACGTTTCATTTGCAGTTACGTATCCCAGTTCCTTAAAACAATAATCAGTCGTGATTTACTAACGTAAAGACGAAAAGAGGCCTAAGAGCCTACTATTCATAATTGATAAAACAAGATACTTACCTTCAGCCATCCTTTCTTTAAAGTGTGCAACCTCAAATCCAAGCTCTTTACCAGAATCGTAAGTGAGTATGTGGTCGCTGTCTGGATCGGAGGAGATCTCCTTAACTTGACCCAGGCTGTATTCACTCCCAACAGCAATTGTAAACACTGTCACATTGTAGTTCTTCAGTAAAAGATACGAGGGAACTGCGATTTCATCATGGCTCTTGCTAGCTGTCAATATCACTAGTACTTTTTGAACTTTTGGGCGTGAGATGCTCGCGTTATGGAGAATAGAAGCAACGTATAACATCGCGTCTCCTAAATTACTTTGGAGACTTGCAGGATACATAGTTTTATCAACAGCTTTTTCAAGAGATGACTGGTTGAAATGATCATTTAAATTCGCCACAAGAATGGAATTGTCACCATAAACGGTTACACTGGCATGGGTTTCGTCCTCAGATACATTTAGTGAAGTGGTGACGGCATTGGCGAAGGAGGTAAATGTGAGGAAGGTCTCTTTTGTTACTGACAGACTTCCATCAATCAAGAAGGCAATGTCCAATTTGGTATCAAAGGCTACAATAAGATTTAAAAAGATGCAAAGCAAGAATGTTAACATGATCAGGACTACGTAGGGGGGGATATGGTCAATGGATATCACAGAATATTCCTAGCTTATTATCTATCATACTCGCACTTCCAAAAAACGCTTTATACATCAGTAGGCGCTTTTTTTCCAAAGACTTCTGTAGTTATTGATGATCTCACTACTGTTGTTTCTTTAAATTTCTTGTTGCACAGTTTTGTTGCTGCTGCTGCTACCCGCGTTGATAATATAGATTCTGGTCCCTTTCAGTGTTTAGTTTTTGTTTTTTTTTTGGGTTTTTTTTTTTTCGTTTTGTTTGTTTGCTTGTTTGTTTTACTTCTTTTTAATCGTTTTTAATTTGGTTGTCTCTTTTTGGCAAAAAGAAATTCAAGTAATTACTGGAAAATTCAGTTTTTCCCTAAGGATAACAATAATCGTCTAAGTAAAAAGACAAATTTTGGAGAAAAACTCAAAAAAGGTTGGCCAGACGTGAGACAAGTCAAGAGAGAGGTATTATCTCACTTGTCTCTACACGAAGAATACTCACCATATTGGCAATTGGCACCATACCGTCCGCCTATGCACACACATTGATAACCTCCCAAAGTATTAATACAGGACGTTCCATGAGTGCAATTTGGAGCGTCTATGAGGCATTCATTTACATCTGGTTGGAATGAAAAAAACCAATTCTTTAGCATTACGATTTCCATCATTTGATTTGAGAACTGATAATTGGAAAACTGTGTTAGTGTTCCCCATCTTTGGGAATCCTTTTCCCGATTTGGAGTATATTGTTCACTTTGTATTTTTCTCTCGCTAATCTTATATGTTGTGGTTTCACTCTCACTCGAGGTACTTGCAGTTTTGCAAGTGCATTTGTTCTATAGAAGCACAAAAAATTATTTGAAAGAGGCATTGGGATAATTTTAGATAGGAGGAACTAAATTTGTTTCCCGTCTTAAAGAAAGTAGCACTTTGTTTTAAAGGACACAACCCGTCAATCACCGCTCTAATTTGATATTTCTTTCTTTCCACTGAAGTGAAATCGATTACCTTCTTCACAAGTTGGTCCCTCAAAGCCCACTGGACAAGAGCAGGTGTAGTTTCGCGCAGTTCTACTGCAGTTCCCTCCAAAACGACAGGGAAAGCTAGCGCAAGGATCAACAACTGTAAAGACAAAACCATGCCATGTTACTCTTACTTAGAGTATCAAATGATAGAAGAGATATGGGGAACAAAATAAAGTTGACGTGATAATTGATGGCGTCAGAGTTCTTGTTACAACTATCACGTTTGGCCGCGAAATCTACAGTGATATACGCAATTGATTCCTTTATTACCTTGACTTACAGCACCGCTGACACCACCTTCCATAACATCCATGTGTGCATCGCGTATTGTAATAACGTTATCGTCTTTTGGTTCGCTCGCGACCACGTCTAATTGTTTGATATCGTAACCGTCTCCAATTCCAACGACAACGATTTTTATTCCTTTATCACGAAGATCTTTGGAAACTTCTTTAAAATCACCAATTAGTAAGTGACCGACGAAAACAACAAGGACGTCAGGTACGTTTTCTCTGCCAGTTTCAAATATCTGCCTCCTAGCAAGGCGCAGAGCATTTTCAATGGAAGCGGTTGTCTCGTTTATGAATGGTAAATTCTCAATGGCAGCTGTTACGGTGGAATCATTGTAGTGCTCAGTGAAGTTAAATCCAATAACTGCAGTCGTCGCATAGACTGCTGCAGCCACATTGGTTTGATGTTGGGAAATGTTATAGTCAGACAAAATTGTGTTTGCAAACTGCAGTGTTTGTCGGAAAAGATGATATCCAAGGTGAGCTGACCCATCAAAAAGGAACATTAGATCAAATATGTCCGTAGCCAGTCCTGAGAAAGAAGATTGAAATAAGAATGTAAGCAAACCTGAAATGTATATAGCTTCACAGGTGGAAACTTGCATGACATAAATATTTACATAGTATATGGATGGTGATGGAGGAGGATGCAGACCCCATATAAATCGGTTCACATGTGCACAAGTGCACATTACAGAGAAAAAAATAGCTATTCCGAGGAAAGAACAACGAACAAAACAAAACAAAAAACCCAAACAAGAGAAGCAGCCAATAGGAACTCGAGAGGGGGGAAAAACGAGAGATAAAGTGATCTTTGGGTCTGATTAGTTGGTAACTAAGAGTGGCTTTCTAAGGAATAACCATAAACGTAATAAGGCCACATCAACACTCTGTAGTAATAATAAAGAATAACTGTACCGAGGAGGAAAATTATTAATCAACAAGCACACAGATAGAGCATTATTATTTTTCTTAAGTTGTCATAGGTAAAAATATTTCTATTGACACACAAAAAAAACCCACCTATTTGACAGTGGATCCCAGTAAAGTTTGGTGCACAGATACACTCGTAACTGCCAAAGGTATTTCTACAACCGTATGCTCCATTCAAGCAGGGGTTGTTGAAACACTCGTCAATATCTGTAAACGTCAGGCGATGGTAAACAAAAGTCATTAGGTGAGATGAAATAAAATTCTGTGGGTAATTAGGTGAGTAGTTTCAAAACCAGTTTATCGCGCGTGCAGGAGAAGGTTAATTTGAAATTACATACACGATGCCTCTGCATCGTAGGACTTCTATTTACCATATGATACTTTCGATAACGAATTTAAAGTAACTGTTCACCATTCAAAAGACAAATTAAACTCAAAATGTTACCATGTAGGAGGGAAAGAGCAGGAAAGAACCCATTGGCGCGCATGGCACTGACGCTTGAATGAAGTAGATGATGACCTGCGGGTATCTTATTGGAAGATTTATTACTGGGTGAATGGTTCCCTACGTGATCATGCACAGATTAGTGGACCAGAGACATACGAAAAGTCATAGGGAGAGTTAGCAAAGGTACAGAAATACACACTCTACTGCAAAATAGAACAAGAAACAGTTGTCCCTAGAAAAAATTCGCTCAGGCAAAGGGGGCAGTGGTTCCCATCATGCCTTACCTTCCTCACAATTTTTTCCCCTCAAACCAAGAGTGCAGTCGCAGTTGTAATAGCCATCAAACGAGGTACACACCCCTCCATTTTTACAGGGCAGAGAAACGCACAAATCTTCCACTAGGCAAAGAAACGAAATTGTCAATTCAAAAATGGAATTTAATCTAATCAAGTATGGTATTGTAAATGTAAAAATGTAAATGTAAGTTTGCTTACCTTCACAATTTCTTCCACTGAATCCTGCAAGACAAGTGCAATTATAGCCATTTTCAGAGTTGAGGCATGTCCCACTGTTCAAGCATGGATTGTTGAAACAGGGATCCACCACTGAAACATAGAGACAATCAGTAATTATGTATGTAATTGTGCAAAATGGTTCGAAGTTAGCTAAGAAAATAACGGCTAGAAATTTATTCGTAGCAAACAAACCTTCACAGCTCGTTCCAGAATAACCGGAAGCACAAGTACAATTGCGCCCTTCATCTAGATTTTGACACGTTCCATTGTTTTGGCAAGGACTGTTGTAACAATAGTTCTGAGCTAAAATTAAAAAACAAATCGAATGTCACAGTATTAAAGCTTGAAGACTCAAACTACCGGTAATACATGAAAGTGACCTTTGGTCAAATTTTTGTTATCTGATTGGCCAAGAGTTTCGCACGTCTTTGACCAATCACATAGCTAAGAAAAGCATACCAATGCAACAATCAATCAAAGATTGTGCTCCTACGGAAAACTGTAAAATAATTCTATTTAATACTGAGTGTGAAGAACTACACACCTTCGCAGTTTTGTCCTGTAAAGTTGGCAGGACAATAGCAAATGTAATCTTCAAAATCATTAATACAGGTTCCATTATTCTGGCAAGGGTTTTCATGGCAGTAATCAATCTCTGAAAAAAAGCAAAAACCCTACCTTCAGTATTCCATTTATAAGGATTCCCCCGGTCTAAAAACTGTTTCTTGACGTCATACAACTCTAAAAGGTGACGTGCTTAGGAAATATTGGGTCCCTGTAAGCATCCCCTCTACAACTATTACAGTATAACGCTAACCTTCGCAGTTTATCCCTGTCAATCCTGAAGGACATTCGCACTTGTAATCGTTTGGAAGATTGTGACATGTTCCATTATGTCGGCAAGGGTGGCTATGACAATAATCTCGCTCTGTAAATCAAATGAAAGGCAAGGTAAGAATACTCTGTGTCTCATTGTCTTGTGTACTTCATTGTACTGCGTATTTTTTAACAGCCGACAATTCCGAGATTCCAAAGCCTCTGCTCTGTAATAAGGGTAACTGTGCAGACTTCACATGGCATTTTCTTAACTCCAATACTCCAGAATATACCAAGCACAGGAGAGAAAAGTGTGCATTTGGCTCAGTTAAGTTTTGTTGAGGTCTCTTTTTGTGCAACAAACCTTCGCAGCTCTGTCCAGTGTAACTTGAGGGACACGAACAAGTGTAGTTTTCAGGATTGCTTTGACATGTTCCATTGTTTAGACAAGGGTTGCCGAAACAGTGATCTTTAGCTGCAAATTGATAAATATGTCAATTTAGACGTAAGGGCTTTGAGGTTGTAGAGATATATCAAATTGATGCGAGAAGTCCAGCTAAAGCTGATAAGGTTCTGTAACAAGGCATACCGTTTTTTTCAGGAATAGCCTTCCTTGTCTTTAAAGACGAAAGGTTTGAATAAAACTTCACTCTACCATGACCTTTCTGGACATGGTCTTTGACATTACACAAACTGATTACTTTTCCTACACGATTAAAATTTTCAAGAAAAAAAATGTTCGTGTTTATTGAAACAATCTGAAAACCGGAGAGAGAATAATCCACACGAGATGATATTAAGCTTTTCTGGACCAGAAAATGTTTACGTCACGCTTAATTACTTTCACATTTTCCTCCGCTGAATCCCAGAAGGCAACTACAGTGAAAGCTGTCAGCGGTGATGATGCAGGATCCGTTGTTCGCGCATGGATTTCCATAACAGTAATCTGTTTCTCCGGTAAAATATCAAATTTTTTCATTGACGTTCAAACCCGTTCTGATAATTGTGACCATCCTCATTCGAACAGAATTCCCTCCGCTTGACATCGATCGTTTTTATATCCGTTTGAACGACTTAGAAAGCAGTTAGGTTTGTTTTGGCAACCTGTTCGGACGGGTTGCGGCATTAACAAATTGCCTGAAGTGCAGGAAAGCGCGAGTGATCAAGTCGCAACTGTATCCGATTCATTAGGTCTGTGTTTCATAGTTTCTGGATCAATCATAGAGGGAAAGAAAGCAAAAAACGAAGATTCTCTAGGAACAAGTAAAGAAACCAACCTTCGCAGAGCTGTCCACTGTATCCCTCTGGACACTCACAAGTGTAGTTATCGAATAGTCTAACACATGTCCCATTATTTAGACAAGGACTGTAAGAACATCGATGTAATTCTGGAATCAAAATATATTAAATTCAGATCCGTATACGACTTTTTCTACCTAACTTTCTTAACTCTTACTCACTAAAAGCCCATTATTTCGGAAGCCTTTTCTAGTTTTAGAAGCAACCATAAAACTATGAGTGTTGCTATTCTACTTGGCTTATCGTCTGTCCACGTTCGCAAAATTTGGCATTGGATGAAAAGAAGCTCTGTGAGGTCAGGCTCGAGCAATTCGTCCGAATCCCTGCCGAACATTCAACTCAGTGACTCAAAGACAGGAACTCTGTGACTCAAAACTTCCTTATGCGATGCAGTATACCAACCAACTGCGTCTCCAACAAAGTAGCAAAATTTTTCAAGTTTTGAATGGTGGAGTGTTCAGGTAAAGAAAGAAACAGACCTTGTTCACAATTCCTTCCACTGAACATCCCCTGACAAAAGCATTGAAAGCCATCCACTGTATTTTGACAAGTTCCGTTATTTTTGCATGGGCTGTCGAAGCAATGGTCTTTTTCTGCAAAGTGACAAGAATTTTTTTTTCTACCTATCGAGCAGACAAATAGAAGTAACAAGTAAAAGAAGTACTAAATGTATCATTCCTGAACAAATCTGAACTCGGCTGAGAGAAATCAACACGACAATTAACAAAAATAGTGAAATGTAAGTGGAGTTCTAACCTTCGCAATTCTTTCCTTGAAATTGTTCTGTGCAAGCGCAAGTGTAGTTATTCAAAAGACTACGACAAGTTCCGTTGTTAAGGCAAGGGCTATCATAACAATAATCTACTTCTAAAGCGAAGAAAAGAGAAAATTCAAATAAAATTAGTGAAAACGAAGAAAATGAGAAAATGGGAAAATTGGAAAAACAGAATGAGAACGTAGATATTAAGGGAGATGAAGACAGATGGGAAGGTGGATAATGAAGCAAACAATGAAAAAAGAGGAAAAGGAGGCCGACATGACACTGAAGGAAAAGAGGGACGACGAAGAGGAAAAACAAGGGAAAGAAAGAGAAGGAACAGGAAGAAAGAGTAGAAGACGGAGGAGAAAAGGGGGGAAGAAGGCGAAGGAGTAATGGGGGAAAATTTATAATAGGGAGTAAAAGGAGAAGGAGGGGGATGGGGAGGAAGGAGGAGAAGGAGGAAAAGGGGAAATAGGTGAAATAGACTGAGGGAAAGAAGGACAAGGGGAAGGAGGAAGAAGGAGGAGGAAGAGTACGAGGGAAGAAAGACCTAAGTTTTTTTTCGCGTCAACTGTTTCTTCTTTGATACTCACTCTCGCAGCTTGGTCCTGAAAACCCTGGCATACAATCACAGGTGAAGTTGATCGGCAAATTATAGCAGGTTCCATTGTTCAGGCAGGGACTGTAGTGACAATGATCAAAGGCTATTGATAAAAAGAAATTTTTTTTACAAAACAGTTAAAAAAAAGGTTCGGAAGTCAATCTTAATTTAGGGTTTTGAGAACACGGAAATGGTGGATCCTTCAATCCAATACTTGAAAATACAAAGTAAAAGCGGCGAGAATGATCACTTGACATAGGACAGGTTTCGTAAAATTGGTTTTTTGAAAAACTCACTCAACAACAAACCTTCACAGCTCTTTCCAGTGTAATTTGGAGGACACGAACAAGTGTAGTTTTCGGGATTACTGTCACATGTTCCATTATTTTGGCATGGGTTGTAAAAGCAGTGATCTTTGGCTGCAAATACAGGACAGATTTAACAGAGAATAAGAACAATGACGCTATTGATTGACAAAAAAGACAGGAAAGTATCTGAAATTTCCACGCTATAGTCATTCATGAAAGCATGATTTACACTGACAAGTTTCCTTGAAATTTTTTTCTCCAAAAGTTCTTTGCCAAAGAGTAAGAAAGAACATAAGAGAGAAATCAAATTCAATATGAAAGAAATTAGAAGGCCTCCTTCACATCGTGTCTATCCTAGTGATACTCACTCTCACAGCTTCGTCCTGAAAACCCTGCCATGCAATCGCAGATGTACTTGTCTGGAAAATTTTGGCAGGTTCCGTTATTCAAGCAGGGACTGTAGTGACAATGGTCCATAGCTAAAAATAAAACAGAATACATATTTCTGATTAGTAATACTTATAAACATATAAACTCATTTCTGTAACCAAGGTTTTGAACTTGATCCCATTTTTTAAGTTAAGGGTTTTTGGACAAAGCGTTATGAGATTAACGAGAGTTATGAGATTGTGCATTTGGCTCAAAGTAAGATTATTTTGCATGATACAGACCTTCACAGTTCTGCCCGGTGTAACTTGGAAGACACGAACACGTGTAGTTTTCAGAATTACTGTGACATGTTCCATTATTTTGACATGGGTAGTCAAAGCAGTGATCTTCGGCTGCAAATACAAGAGAGAGATAACGAAAAATTAGCCCAATGACATAAGTGATTGACGAAAAAGACTTGAAAGTATCGAAAATTTCCACGCTATATCAATGTAAGCAGGATTTACTCTGACAAGTTTTCGTGAAAACCGGCTTTTTCTCGAAGAAGAATACAAGAGAGGAATTAAAGGGAGGAGGAGAGAAAGTAGGAGGCCTCTTTCACATCAAGTCTACTCTATGTGATACTCACTTTCACAGCTTGGTCCTGAAAACCCTGGTGTACAATCACAGGTGTAGTTGTCCGGAAAATTTTGGCAGGTTCCGTTATTCAAGCAGGGACTGTAACGACAATGATCCACGGCTTCAAATAGATAAATAGAATAAAAGGAATATGATTATTCTTGCCTGATGATCGTAATGACCATAGAGTAATGCCTCGCTCTTTTCGTTTAGTTGATCAATCAAAGTACCATACAAACCTTCGCAGTACTTCCCTGTAAATCCCATAACACAGTCACAAGTGTGGTTGTTGGCAAGATTAAGACAGGTCCCATTGTTTTGGCAAGGACTTTCACTACAATGGTCAACCACTAGAGAAATAAAATAACGAAACACCACCTAAAGTCAAGAAAGGATGTCAACTTACTACTTTAACCCATTCACATTGGTCCATATCAAAAAAAATTAAAAACAAACCTTCGCAGCTTCTGCCTTTGAAACCACCAGGGCAAGTGCAGTTGTACTCGTTCAGCAGGTTATTGCAAGTACCATTATTTCTGCAAGGACTTCCAATGCAATGATCAACAACTGTAGAAAGAGACAAAAAGGATCGAGTTTGTGAACCCCAATATTTGCGTAAACTACACTGGAAAACTAATTACAGCTATGGAATACCTGCTGAGACGGTTTATGGGAAACGATATTTCAAGAACCTTTCTATTTAAGCATGTACTATGCCAAACTCGCACGAAGTCCAAACGCGCTAACCTCTCGCTAGCAGAAATGTTCAAAAAAACTAAAGAATTGTTTCTGCTTTCGCTCACCTTTGCAGACGTCCTCCAGAATAGAGCTAGCAAGACTTACAACTGAGTCAAAACTTGCCATAAACACATTCTCATCGGCGGGCTTGCTGGCAATCTCTTCGAGCTCCCGATGATCCGCGTTGCCGACACCAACAGAAATAATGTGGACGCCTGTATTACGAAGGGCCTCGGCGTGATCGTCCACGTCATCATTTGCTCGACCATCCGTGAGAACAATAAGGATATGCGGGACTCCAGCTCGTGCTAGCGGGAAGAGACGAGTTCGTACACGATACAAAGCATCGCCAGTGTAAGTATATCCGCCATAGTATGGAATATTTTGCACAGCATCTACGATTGCCTCTTTTGTGGAATATTTTGTGAAATCAAATTGCACAAGGAAACGCGAAGTGCTCGAAAATGTTGCTACAGCGACAGTTGTGTCATCTGGGCCAATGACAAACGATTTAACGATGCCTTTAAGAAAGTCTTTCATGATCTGATAATTGTGCTCGCCGGCGTTGTTAATGCTACCCGAAGTGTCCAGGAGGAAGGCTACGTCAAATTGAGTGTATTTGCATTCTAAGTTGAAAAAAGAAAGGAAGGAATTAAAAAAGTAGATAAGTCCTTTATTCCTTTCAGTGACAGAAGTTTAATATGTTAACCAAAGAATACGCACTAAGACGGCAGTCACAAATAGTGGAAAAATGCAGGTATATTTTCGGAAGAAAAGATATCGATGAATTAACACTATGGCCTTCTGATGCCCCTAATCCTATTGGCAAACTAATTATTTGGAAAATACCAGCCGGCTTAGAATCAGATTTGAAGCCATTTTCTCCCAAAATCCTAGCATGCTCCAAAATGGAAAAAAAAGGCGAAAAATGTGTAATTTTCTAAAATTTATCGCAGTTTATGAAGGGAAATGAGAACTGGGAAGTCAGTCATATTCATTATAAATAATTAAAAGGTCATATTAAGCAGGTGTAAGGAATTCTAGAAGAAATTCCTCTCTAAGCACCAATAATTTAATTATTCATTTGTTTTGTTAATCCCACTCGGCCTGTATGACTTACGCGTGGTACAATTTGCTCCAAATCGGTTGTTTGAACACACGCATGCAGATCCTCCAGGAAAATTCTGGCACACTTGATTTTCTGAGCAATGAGTAATACCAGTGTCACATTCATCTACGTCTGAAAATATAAAGACCATGAGTACTTCATATTTAGTATTTTGAGAACTCCGTTTATCTTTATTTTAATAGCTAGTGCTTTACGTAGTAAAAGCAAACTACAAGTGTGGTCAATAACGAGATAATTTTCTTGGGTGAACCTTCCCTACCTCCTTGGTGACCAGGCGATCTTTATTTAGCCCCTTTCCCCGTTTGAATAGTGAGAATATATCCAACCAACCCCATTTTTTTCCGTCGAGGAACAGCCCTTAGAATGCCAGGCAGTTTTTGTTAGAATCTAAAAAGCTTTTGACATTTTCCAAAAGAACATTTTTTGTATTTCTGATAATGACAAGCAGTTACCAGTTTCACAATCCTTTCCTTGCCAACCAGATGGGCATTCACAATGATAGTCCGTTAGCTGACTGATGCAGGTTCCACCATTAAGACAGGGATCACTGTAGCAATAGTCGATGGCTAGACAACACAAAAACAATAGAAGACATTAGAGGAACTCACTAACGTTCATTCCGTCCTCCGTACAACAAGTCAAACTTCCTATGTCGCAAGAATAATGTAGAAAATCGAAGAGATAAGCTAAAAAGGAACAACGACAGCAGAGAATGGAGAATTGCAAAAGGCAAAACTTAAACAATTAACTTGGGCGTGAGGGAAGGTATAAACTATTAGCTTGTTAAGGTGGAAAAACAACAAAATCGCATGAAAAAATAGTGAATGACGACGAGGGGAAAAAATTGAGAAATTGTTTCATTGGTGGAGTTTCTTTTCATGAAGAAAAGAAAATCGGAAAGAATTACTGAGCTTGGGATGACAAAATTGGTACGGATTACAAACAATGGGTTTGCACCCACAGGCCGGAGATCTCCTCGTTGAGAAACGACTGTTACTGTCATACGGGCTTTGGTTTCTGTTATGGCGAGGCAAAAAAAAAGAACACGTTCCTTAACATTCTGCTTCTTATTTCACTTTCAAAGCTGCTCTACAAGTTCTGCGATAAAACCAGTCACTTTTTCTGTTATGACGTCTTACCGTGACAGATCTGTTCCCGCACTAGACCTTTAATCTCGCTTAAGGCCGAAAAACTGACTGCAAACACGTGCTCATCAACAGGATCAGAGGCCATCTCTCTCAGCTCCTCATTGTCATAACAACAGCCCACACCAAGACTAATAATAGTTGCACCCTCATCACGAAGTTCTTCTGCAGGTTCTTCAACGTCATCATGCGACAAACCATCTGTCAACACCATCACAACATTCGGTACAGTTTTGCGTGACCCTTTGATGTCTTTGAAGACTTCTTTGCGAACTTCATCCAATGCATATCCGGTGTTGGTTTTCCCTCCGGGGTAAGACATTTCTTCAATTTTATCTACGATTTTCTCGACTTCGTCGACATATTTACCTAATTTTAACACCACTTGCGCTTTTTCTGAGTAAAGAACAACAGCCACATGCGTGTCGTCTTTGCCAATGTTGAACGACTGCACCATATCAATCACGAAGTCTTTGGAACGCTGGAAGTTGCCTTTACCCTGACTTTCTATGCTTCCTGATCCGTCCATGACAAATATCAAGTTGAACTTCTGATTGACGCAAGCTGTTAACAAATAGTGAATTTCATTATTAACACCATTCCTCTGGAAGAGAATCTTCACACTCACTATAACATTATCAGTGGAAAAGGTAACATTACCAATAAATTCCCATTTACCAACACGATTTAATTGATGTTGTACTATTTTCATATCCATTCATGTTTTTTTCTTATTCCACTTTCAATCACAGCTACCACTTACCTAATTCACACTGTGGTCCAGCATAGTCTTTTCCGCATTCGCATTCAAAATGTCCCAGTTGATTAATACACGTTCCTCCATGTATGCACGGCGCTGAATCACACTCATTGATAATATCTATGCATGATATAAAAAGCAAATTTTAATAAATAGCGAAGAAGAACAAGAAGAAGAGAACTCATAAAACACAAATTGCACGAATAGGATCGACTTGAATAACATCTGGGGTTTATTGTCTAACATGAAGCGAATAATGGTATCATGGTTACTTCATCTGGACAGGATATTAGTGTAGCCCTTGCATGTTGCCTCCGAATATTTCATCAGGTTCGGCGATTTTTTAGGCGTTAGTAAAGTTCAATTGGGCATACACGTTTAGAAAATAAAACATAACTGCTACCAAACGTGCTCTATGATTGAACCCACGAGGTCAAGGTCACTCCCCGAACAGGTGGAGAGGGTGCGTGGACCACGAAGCGAGTAAAGGAGCCTGAACCTGGAGGCAGGTAAGACGATAGCCCAATACTGAGCCAGACGGTGGGAAGTCTCCAAGAAACTATGCTCTAATGGAAAATATGGGAAAAAATTCAGCCAAGTTTCTCGACAGTTCATGATCCGTAAACGAAACAGGCAAGATGAGAGTATAAGTGACACAATGACCCTGGCCGAGGTTTTATCGCTGACTATTCGACCCAGTATCCAACGCCTTCTTCTGCAAAAAGGCCACTTACATCCTAGAAAAGTTCTCGGTGATGGTTTCTCTAGACTTACCTTCTGTGCAGTTTTGCCCTCCAATTCCATGCGGACATGCACAAGTGTAGCTTCCAGAAGCATCGTAGGAGCAGTTTCCGCCATTTTGGCACGGGTTGAGAGAGCATGAATCTATGAACATGACAAAACAACAATTCTGGTATCAGGTGTCTCATTTATCTAAATTAGACTAACATGTTACGCCAGCACTACACAATTAAATTCCCTGCTACCACTCACACCCGGCTACTTTTTAGCTTCCATGACGAATCTAACCTGTTACGCAACTAAATCCTCCAGTTTCGCCATAGTTGTTCACGCAAATCTCAGCAGATGAGCAGTCAGAACTGGAACATGGATTTGAAGCTACGATAGACACAGAGACATTGCCGTTAGGAACACAAAAAAAATTAATTCATGTACTGTTTAGAAAATGGCCCGCGTTCCTTTATATTCACCCTTCCCTTTCTGCCTTAGTTCCTTCTTTAGAAATATCTTTGGCAAGTTTATTCGCTTCTTCCTTAAAACTACAAACCTTTGCAAATTTTGTTTCTTATAGTGCTAATAAAATGCGTCAGATCAGCAAATTCTGCCCTCAACAAGTGCTCCTCACTCGGCTTGGTAACCAACATGTTTAGTTGGGACATGCTGTAATGTGAACCCAACGGCAAACCGATGATGGTAACACCTCTTTGACGAAGCAGGGAAGCAGGTACTGCATAATCATCCTCGGCCTTCCCAGCGACCATTGCGACAACAACTGACGCCGTAGTTTCATCAAACAACATTGTTTCCTCTAGTGCCCTCGTTAATGCTTTTCCCAGGTTTTTGTATTTACCCATGGAATAATTAGCGTTTCGTAAAATATTTGCGAACTCGGAGAAACTGGATGAGTTTCCTGGGCTGATTAAATATTGGGTGTCTGTGGCATATGCTATAACACCGATGCTACTGTGACTGAGCGTTGATGCCGTCGTGATAATAAACTCCACTTGACGTGTTATATTGTCCTCTCCCACGTTATAGGAGCTATCCAGCAAGAACAGAATAGTGACCGCCTTGGAGCAATCTGTAACAAACGAAAATAGTTAAGTGACGTGGAACAGAAATGCCCGAGCATCCATAACAAGCCAACGAAATAACATCGCGGAAGTGACCTGCATGGGAGATGCAGGCTCATATCTCGATTCTCTATGGATTCTTATGCTGACCTTTATCACAATTGTCGCCATAGTTCGAGGAGTCACTACAGGTGCAATCAAAACCACCCAGACCCTCGGTGCACTTCTTTCCAGATTCACAGCTCACTCCGTGTTCTGAGCATTCCTTTACATCTGTGTAATATGAAAAAAAAGAAAATGTTCAGGTCAGAATTTTCCACCTTTGTGTGACCACAATCAACCGAGTTACTTTGATTTTCAAGTGAGGGATACATTGATTTTCTTTTGCATACAAACGCAACGTGATTGATTTAGCAAACTGGCACCACCGAGTCAAACAGTCCGTGAAAAAATAAAGCCAATTGCTACTTACACACTTCCTTTCCCACGTTTTTGCTTGCTTGTGTGTTTTTCTTTGGGTTTTCAAAAGCTCCACGTGAGATATTCCTTTAATTGGCTGTTTTGAGTGCCTTGGTTTTGTTTAATGAGACTGAACCGAAGGGCCTTCTAAATCTACAGAGCCACGTGTGATCATTCTTCATTATTCACTAAGTTTGTTCTTTTAGGAGCAGTTTTCACCCACATTACAAACCTTCAGTACACAAGTCACCCTGGAATCCCTGTGCACACGCGCATTTCAAGCCGGCATCTGTACAAACTCCATTGAAGTGACATGGATTGTCTGAGCAGCCGTCCACTTCTGTAAAGTAAAACCGGTGAAGTACAGAATTACAAAGAAGAAAATAATTTGCATCTTAGTGACTATGGTACTCATTCATTTGAACTGCAAATAAAAAAAAAAAAAAAAAAAAAAAAAGAGAAAGTAATCAAATACACGAAAAAACAAAACATTTTAACCAATGGAGTGACTGTCCGTACTCCTGTCAGTACTTAGCTCATGCTTCTGTCATTGTTGTTGTTTTGAGTTGTTTTTTTTAAATGTTTGTTCGTTTACTTTTGTTTTGTTTTTCTTTTATTCAAAGGCGTTTTAAGCTTCGAAGACAACATAGCGATATTTGGTGCCACTTCAAGTTTTGTGACGAGTAAAAACTAGCTTCAGCTCATAGGAAGTAAGAAAATACCAGGTTAGAAAGATAGAAAGGCATGAAAGAAGTGGTAAGAAACCAGAAAGATTAACACGGATAAAAAATCAAGCTACCTCTGCATATGGCTCCTCTGATGTTATTCATTACAAATCCAAGTGACGAAAATTCCGTTTTGAAGACGTGTTCTGATTGACCGTAAGCAATCTGGGTGAGTTGGGAATAATTAATATTCTCACCAATTCCCACCACAAAAACAATCACATCCTTATTACTCAATAGCGTCGCAGGTTGTATGACGTCATCGGTGGAAACCCCGTCCGTGAGAAGCACTAATACCTTTGGAACATTGTCCCGAACTTCTGCATCATCAAAGAGTTTATTTGCCGTCTGGTACAAGGCCTTTCCGCTGTACGTTCCACCACTTGGATAAACGATATTATCAATCGCCTCCTCTACTCTTTCAGGGCTTGCGTACTGATTCAGTGTGAACACAACAGTAGAATTTGTTGAGTAAACTACCACTCCCACACGCGTGCCGGAACTTGAAACACTGAATGAACGAGTGAGGTTCTTCATGAAATCTTTCATCATACGGAAGTTATTTTCGCCATAGTATTCAATACTAGAAGAGCCATCTACCACGAAAACTAATTCAATCTTGTTGTAACTGCAATCTGGAGATATAATGCAAATATTACAAAACTTGTGAAGTTACTAAAAATAGTATGAGATTAAAGGAATTTAGTTTGAAAGAATACTCGGTTACTGTATAGAAATAGAGACTGATTCGTGGCACAATATCAGAACAGGAATCGTAAAGAACTGAACTTGGCATTGTTCTCAAACTATATGATCCTAGTGCGCCACTTTTATGAAAACTAGTATTTCCTTTGTCAGATTTCCCCTAGCTGTCATTTAAACTTAACTTTCTTATAAACAGTAAATTATATTTTTAGGTGAAAGCATGTCCGCTCACAACAATACGTTACAAAACATGGAGGTTTCTGACTTACTTAAGTGACAATTTTTGCCGCTGTATCCATGATTACACTCACACCTGTAACTTCCAAAGGTGTTTACACATGTTCCTTCATTCTGACAAGGGCTGTTAAAGCATTCATCATAATCTACACAGTAGAATTTAAAAAAACAACGACAACAAAACTTTGAATGAGGTGAGCACCTGGAGAGTTGAAAACTTGCAGTTGATTTTTTATTACTTTATTGTTATTATCATTATAACAAATTCATGTAAGTTTTTACCCATGCATACATGTTAACATGTTTGATCATTAAAGCAATATTTCATCGATGAATCCAACAAAAAAACTAATACTCACCATCCTGGCAATTGCCATCTGACAACCCATCTTCACAAATACAATTATAAGTCCAATCCTCCAAGTTTTCAACACAAGTACCACCATTGTGACATGGCGTTGTGTCACAGGGGCTTGAAATTCCTATAATTTTAAAAGGTATGTTGGCAACAGGCCGGACAAATGAACTATTGTAGATATACATTAAGGATAGCTCCATATATCACCACAACGTTTAAAGGCGCTAGATTCTTGTCTATCATATCATACGATTTTTGAGATTGTCGGAAAACGAAATGGCATCCAAACCGGCCTTAGCTATAGTGGAAGATAGAGAATTGCTCATAATACTTAGTTTTATATCCCTCTATGGAATTCAGAACTTGGTTGACAAAGACTTAAAACAAAGGAAAAAAGTATTTTGCAGCTATAAACAATAAAGACACCATAGAGGTTGATGTTCGAGCAAATATATTTTTGGGAACTTTAATACAAAAATAACAATCCGATAAAAAATTAATTAAGATAGAGCCAATTGCTATGATACATGTACCTTGGCAATTGTCCCAGAGTTGGTCTCTGTCATAATTATCAGTGGTAGCACACCATGGTTGGTTGTGATTGTCCTTAATACACGAGTATCGTTGATGTCCCATGTACCAGAATGGGAAAACGCAACATTTGTTCCTCTGTGTTGGGTAGCAACCTTCGACAAATAATAAATAAAAGTTAAATAAATAGGAAAATAGAAGATCATATTAATTAAGTAGAACCCCATTCAGTCAAATTTTCAAAAGAAAAGAAGAATACGGAGCTTAAGGTCAATGACTGAAAAAAATCAACGGTAAGGGTCGATTACTTATACACATAGCAACTAAGCACAAAGCTGCTTCCAGCGCTACCTTTCGTCACTTCTTCTCCCTCTGTCACGGTCGTCACGCAGCCTTCAAGATCTGTTCTCAAGCACCTGCCATCATGACTATTGGAAGAAGGCGCCAGGCGCACTGAATCGATGAGGAAAGGTGGTGACACCCCATGGTCATAGCCGTAGTCTCCACTTTGACCTGACATATACTTTTCAAAAAGCTGAAATAAAATTTATTCCATGAATACAATCATATTATCGCTAGACTGAGTGATAAAAATGATTCATTTTGGTCCTAATATTGCTGATGCTTCAAGTCCTTCTTGTCTGTAACAAGCTGCGATTTAAACCCTTTCTGACCGTTTCATCACTTAGTAATAATAAAATGTAAAACATTTTTTCCGCTCTTTTGACTTTTTTTTGGTAAGAAAAAGAAACCTTTTGCTGCTACTGATCTGCAACTATTTAACAAATAGATTTTACATTGCCATGCGCCTTTAAGAGCTAATCGAAGTGTGCGTAGAATTCGGCTGATCATATAATAACGATCAAACGTTTGGTCGATTAATAGAAATTTAACTCGACGCGTAAGCTAGGGTCGACAGTTTGTTGGAGATATTCTTGCACTTGAAAGCGTCGTCTCAACAATAAAACGTAATTCTGAATAGAATCATGTTAAAAGATGCCTTGTAAATAGCAATTTGTTAATAGTTAACGATAAAAAATAATTAAAGCGTCGACCGTCCACCGTGTTGTAGTTGTAGTCCTTGTCTTTTGTTTTTGTTCTTGTTTTTTTCTAACAACTGCTGCTTATGACGCATCTAGTCACATGACCGTGCTAAACTTGCATAGCTGCGAATAGCTGAGATTCGGAAATTGTTGAAACTTGCTTCTTTTGACGTTTCGTATGCATCGATCAAAAGCTACTTTAGGGAAAATTTAATAGGTCTATCCTTCCTTGTAACTTACGGAATCTTGACTACAAGTTGAAAGGATGCGATACGGAACAGGAAATAAGGGGGAATAAGGAATCTTAACTCACAGTGCAAGGCAAATCCCCATCGGGAGTTTCACTATCCGAAGTATAATTCACACAGATTTTCTCCATTGAGTTCGCTGCGCCCAGCTTTCCTTGCACAAAGAGTTTAGACAAGTATATTTCTCTCCCTGTAGAGAGATAACCAGAAAAATAAAAAATAAAAAACATAAAATAAAACAAACTGGTTAAAAGTGTAATCATTTAAAGTGGGGTACAAACCTTATCAAAGATTAAGAGAGATTTGCAATAGAAAGTTGTAAAACCAAAGCTAAAGATATCACAACGGCCAATCAAAACAAAGGTGAAAGTCGCAGAGTGCCAATGAAATCGTAAGTTGGAGCAATCACCCTCCCTGAAGCTCGGGAAAACACGCGAAACCAGGTTGTGATTGGCCAAAGTTACGTGCCTGTTTAGGTGAAAAGGTGTTGCAACTTGCCCAGACTAATCCCAGAACTTAGAGAAGTATAATCCGTGCAATTCCGCAATTTCTTCGACACTCAACTTAAAATTTCTCATAAGATTTTCAATCTTCCCGCGTCTCTAAGTTCTCGTTTACGACTCACACATACATTGCGGTTATTATTATCAAAATGTTTCATATGTCCACTAAAAACGGCAATGTTAAAACGCAAGACTTACCTAGATCAATTTCAAAATATGGGCGGGAGTCACCATCAGTTGGACACCAAGAGTAACTTCCATTTAGAACTGGAACGTTCCAGGATCCTTTGTAAGACGAACCTCGAACCGTTGATTTCGAGACGTGAATCAGGCCATTTCGTAACATCTTTCCACACTTGGCTTTTATTTCATAAAAATAGAGTTAGGGAAAGCAGAATGATTAGCTGAAACGAAAATACGATAGTGCTAACTTTGAGCGACGACTTTTTGTTTGTTTGTTTGTTTGTTTTTTTGTTTGTTTGTTTGTTTTTTTTGTTATCTTGAAGGACATCTAACTTTATATTAACAGAAAACATTAACCAACCTCCAAGAAGATAAACCTCATTGATGAGGGGACCGCCTTTTCCTCCATCAGGACAATGTGCGTCACCATACATAGCGTACCTGCTAAGAGCTGCGGAACCGGAGAAGCACTCGCCGCCATTTTGAAGAGCAAACGCCTTGTAGTCGTTTTTAGCAGCCTCTAAAGCGCATTTCATGACTGCCTTGTCTCTTGTTCGATATGGTACATCTAAAAATGTTGCATTTCCATTTTCCATCGAAATAAGAGCGTGTGTGTTCGCATCATCTACGAAACATCCGAGAGACAGATATTCCAGGGAACGACCTGTGCGAAGAAACGACATTTCGAGAACATTTCCTGAACCTTCACGAAACGCTTTGTCAATAATGAGCACTTAAAAGTGCTCCCCTAAAAAAAATTATATAATGATCTTAGGGTTAAAAATATACTTGATATATTCGTCGCAAGTATTGAGAAAGAAAAGGAATAATTCCCATTGCAGTTGAAGATTCTAACCTATTCTTATCACTGAGCTGCAAAGTAACTTGCTTTACTTGTGACAAAATTGGCATTATCTTTTCACTCAATGTATGTGAAGTGATGTCACCATCTTGGCAGAACCTGACAAACCCCAGGATGTAGTAAAACACTAATGTGTGGTAAATATCTTGGAAGATCTTCCTTACGTTCCTGGATACTAGCTATATCTGGTACACTTATTTCGCATCGACACTGAGTTGCGTTTAGAAGCGCAGCTTGTGGCAAAAACTCTTATAAGTGAGGGAAATGCGAGCTAGTCTCGTAGATATCACGAATGTAAAATTGAATTGTAGACTACTCGTCAATCTATTTGTTTATTATTTATATATCCATTAATTTGTTATCGACATTAATAGAGTTCCTCACTTTTCTCACACTGGTCGCCGTAGAATCCCACAGAGCATGTGCAGTTGTAACTACCCTTGAAACTATTGCATTTACCATCGTTTTGGCAGGGAGAACTCGCACAACTGTCCTCAACTATTCCAATAGAAAAAAGAAAAGCAAATTATCTTGGAGTAGGTGTCAGCTCACTACTCTTAAATGGAATTGGCAATCGCAACTTACAATATGAATATGGACAAAAGCAAAGACAAAACCCCCAGAAAGGACTATGGTGAAAAAGTATCTGACATTTCTCTGGGAAATGAACAAACCCATGAAGGACTCATTATTTCCCAAAGGCCCTAAACTTTTGTATATTTTGCAGAATTTTTGGGATAATACTCAATACCTACCTTGGCAGATTTTCATTGCTAATTTCTTTGCCAAATACTCATCCAATCCATTCCAGCTGCTCAAGGCAATGAAGTAATCACTGTCAGGGTCCGAAGCTACTTCTGTCAATTGACCCCCCGAGTAATCACTTCCAACCCCAAGTGCAAAAACAGTTGCATTTTGCTTCTTTAGCATGACTGCAGGGTGACCTATATCGTCCATAGATATTTGACTTGCGATCAAAATCGCAATGTCGACAGCATCTCTTTGATGACCCTCGTCCAAAAACTGTTCTGCCATGTTTGTCAGCGTAGCTCCCAAGAGAGTTTCTGTTGCGTTGGGGAACTGTTCATACTCAGGCATTAAGGAATCAAGGTTTGATCTTGTTTTAAACACTCGTTTTTGATTCCCGTATGCTAGAAAAATCCACGTGTCGGCTGCATCCACGTTTACGTACTTGGACACATTTACTGCGAATTTCAATGTTGAAACAAAGTTCTCCTCTCCCGTCTTGCTTGATGCATCCAATGCAAAGCCCACGTTCATTTTAGCTGAGCAGATAACTGTAAGAGAAATAATGGTAAATTTTAAGCCTGGTTATCTAAGGGAATTGTGATGTCATTCAGTGATTGACACGGGCATACTTGGAGAAAAAGAACCTCGAATGCTCCTAATGGGACTGGAACCTACGACCCTCCAATTAGTACTGCGGATGCTCTACTACTGAGCTATAGGATACTTGTGGCAGCCGAAGCCGTTTAACTAGGTCCGTGATGACAAACTTCCTGCATACATACTACTAGGGTAGTAACGTCGAATGTGTTACCTTCGCTCATCATCTTTCATAGTTAAATAGTCACCATAAAGTTAACGTGAAGACCAGGGTAAGTGTTTCAGTCTTAAGCATTTAATCACATCTAATGTTAGATAGAGATGAGCGGTTTTTCAAGCATCATTAACCCACAATGTATAGACAACATATTGTTTATATTACAAAGGCTGTTTAACTGACTAATTCGTCATAACCTTTCTTTTTCCCTTAAAGTGGAGTGCATATCCCTCCAAACTAGCCTAACCCAAGAGTCAATCAAATAAAGTTTGTTTCAATCACATAGAGGGGCAACCCTTGTTTATTTAAAATCGTCGATGATTTGCCGAGAAGTTTGCACGGAATTAAGTAAAATGGCTCTTAAACAAAGGAAACAAAGAAAACATTTTATCTAGTGTACTAAAGTGCAAATCGTATGTATTCATAAGTTCATGAATAGGATTTCTCTCACTGGTTGCACATTCTTACTTTAGAAGAGAGATTTTAGGCTGACAAGGTTCACCAACATTTTAACACTTCACCTCGGCTATATGCAATGTTCGCTAGCAGAGCGGAAAGCGACTAAGCTGGCGTGACTCGACAAAATAAACAATGGATCACACTCACTTTAAGCGCTCGACACTTATCTTTGTAGATTGGCGTCACTGTATATTAGCGGTTTAATTAGTGTTAGGCCGATCTTAGATCTAATAGCACCTTGTTACTGGAGCTGCCTAAAGAGAAAATGCTTTTTACGCTTGGTACTAGATCCTTTCATGCTGCACCATATTTGTGGAATAGTTCGCCCCCTGGATTGCTTCCCATTCCATCATTGACAATTTTTAAACGCAATCTTAAGACCTGCCTTTTTGGTCAGAGTTTTCTTTACCGTTTTAGACCAGAATTTTTATTTTACTTAAGTTTTTATAATATATATTTAACCTGATTTGTTTTATTTTATTGTAAGTCTCATTTAAATTTTACGTGCTATACTAAGAGTAGTTTTATAGGTGAATCACTGTAAAGTCTATAGCGCCATGGAAATGCTCGAATTATCATTATTATCACTAGATCGATCATCGATGCAAAACCCAAGAAATATTTTCAAACCTCTCTTAAAACACATAGACTTGAATACGAAATTGGTTTGTTTTTCAAAACTTCTTTATTCATTTATTTATCAATTCTAAAAGTGTCGGAAATGGATTTGAAACTGCAGCTGTAATTTTACCAGAGCTCACTATTGGGAACATCTCTCCTCGGTCATTGTAGGTACCAATTGCTTACCCCCTTTCATTGTTTTTCGTGGACCATTATAGCAAAGGACTATGACATCCCAAAAAAAGCTTATATATTGCTTTGACGTCAATCACGCGGCTACAATATCGAAAGATTACCTTTATCGTGTACACTGATATCCCACACGCGATTGGCTCACGAGTAATACTTGTCATGAACTGTTGCTAAAAAAAAGTTTGCGGTTTTTTCCGTTGAGGTTGCGACATTTCGACTGCATAATACAGGTCTTCTTTAGACGACTTGGTGGCGACTTGTCAAGCGACGACATATTATGGAAGTCATATTAATAATTCCATGATGCTCTTAAGAGTAGCGTGCAACTAACGTGTGTTGATATTAGGATTAAATACCTCGTGAAACAAACGATAACACTTAAAGTTCTATTATGATATTTAAGGAATATCTAGTGGTTGTCCACGCGTTTAAGGTAATTTGTAGAAAAGCGACTCAAATTATAATGTGGTAGTTATTCTACCGGCTATTAATTACTGTCTATGGTTTTTCAACAACTTTTCATCGACTCAATTTTGAAAATGTTAGGGAAGCTTTAGCTGTCAGTTAATCCTTGATGGTTATAAAAAGCCCCCACATATCGTTTCCTTTCTTTGCTCTCGTCGCGTGTGACTCGGTCGACTCGGTTGACTCGGTTTTAGTAACACGAGCGGCTAATGATGCGAGAAGTAACTGATATCGATGAATTCATACACAGCAATGTCACGATTACGATTTCAAGCGATGAAATAGTTTGCCCTGTGGCAATAATTTGATGTCCACATACTTAGATTCTTAATTCTAAACGTAAAAAGTTGACTTTTCCTATTTTGTTTTGTTTTGTTTTTTTTTTGCTTTTTAAGTTGAGTGTTTGCTATTTCTTGTATTTGCTCGGAAATTGGTAAGTAAAATAGTTTGTTTATACTCAGTAGAGGGTCCTTATAAACGATATTTCATTGTCCTACATGACTCGCATTCAATTTCTACTCAATTCACTACAAAAAGTAAAGATTATGTCGAGTTGTTTTGAATTCATATGATTTCAACCATACAAGGAGCTTTTCAATTTTTCACTAAACAAAAAAGCATACATGGATTCTACAAGTATTTCGGAAGAACACTTACTAAATTATCATTATTTGATATATAAACTTTTCAAAAATTTTAAATGGCGCAGAAAATGTTACAATATCCCTTACAATAAAAATAAGGTCGAAGGTCGCGAAACATTAAGCGATTTTTTCCAAGTCTCAATTAAAACTGTTGCACAATCACCCATCGTTTCAGAATTTCAATTAAGGCAAAAGGTCTCATTTTTTTTCTCAATGCATAAAACAGTAAATCTCACTAGGCCTAATATGTTTTATAAAAGAGTAAGCTTTTGAACTATTATGCCATGCAATTAAAGGTCTTATCTTTTAACAGTGGGACAGCAGATAGAAGCTACTTTGACACTAAAACTGCTGAGTCAAGTCTAACAAGCAGTTTTAGAGTCTAGTTCTTTTTTCTTCTTTTTTCTTTTTTCGCGAATAAGAAAATTTCAGGCTAATAAAAGGTATAATTGGGCTTCATCGTGAAAAACACTGCTTTTAGACTTTGAGTGCGTGTTTTGAGTGATAACTGATACAATCTTATTGCCAATCTTTAATCCGAACTATTACATTTTAACCGAAATAATGCTTTGAAGAGAAGTTGTCAAGCTTTGAGTGGGGAAACCAGTATTTATTTTATTTCTCCATTTTTATAACGAAAATAATTTTACATCATCTATCCATCCTTTATTTTGTATCTTTCAAATTAGACGACGTGAAATTTCAGAAACTTGACTATTGCAATTGGAAAATTGTGGTAAGAGTTTCTGATTTACTATCACCAATAACTCATCTTAAATGACTGATAGTTCTAAACAAAATATCAGCACTGCAAATCTCACCAGAAGACTTCAGTTTTCCCACTAATTTCTCTCACGAGAATTTAGATTTGCGCAAAGACGATTCAAGCTTTTTTCTCAGTTTGGACAAATCAGTACTTTTCTTTGATGAGGATAGATAAGAGACGACGATACAATGCAAGATAAGTAATCATGGAAATACAGTTATAGCTAACGGGCTATTAATACTTTGTTCGCTCTAACTAATTCTTGATACTACTTGTTAGGAGAAAAAAAGATTTGTTAAAGGAATTTTATGATGATTTTATCATCTTAACATTACCAAATTAGCCTTACTTTATATTTAAGAACATACCTTCTCCGTTTGCCGAGACAACAAAAAGCAATCCAAACAATGTAAAAACTTTCGCAGAAAGCGAAATTTTCTGTAAGGAATACATCGTTGCCTCCAGAGGACAGTGGAAAGCTCTGTCATTGCAAGGATTGTTACCCCGATTATAAATATGTCATTAATTAATGTAAATCCAGGACAATTAACCCATTGATTGTCTACAGAAGCATGCAACATTGCTGGACTAAAATATATGGAGGTTGTGAGAGATTGTCTATTATCACGAAAAGCTAGAATACTTGTCAAAGATGTCATTATTTTCAGAAAAATTGAATCTCTCACTAGGTAAAAGTTGGGTTTTTGTGCAAAATGTTTGTGCATGTGGTCTAGATGAAAGCGTTTAATGGACTAATATTTGGTGTTGCCTTGGATAACAATCAACAAAGCCATTTTGATATTGATGGCTCATGTTTTGAAAGCAAAAAACGCGGTGATCAGGGCATTTTTATTGGTTGATTTGATTTACATTCAATCATTTTTTCAGGCCCATGGCCCTCCTTGACGTCTGAGGTTTACCACCCAAGAGCCTTCCTTAGATAACAAGGGTAAATGTAAGAAAGAAATGCAACTGGAATTTTATTGCTGTACATCGTCACATTTGTCTTCAATGAAAATTAAGAATTCAATAGTTACTAATATTTTTTAAATCACAATCTGTTAAGCGCAAAGGATTAGCATTATCATCTTACGAATAGTTGGGAGCCATCCGATATTTCATTCATAGCCTATCGAGCAGGGAGCAGCACAGCTAACCATTGTCAAAAACAATAAAGCAAATAAATCACTTATAATTGATACACGCAAAACATTCCTGTTCATCAAATAAGTTCTCAATGATGCAACAAAAAAAGTTTTTCGACTCCTCAAAATACAAAGTTTAAAGTACAGGTGTAGAAATATTCTCAATGTAAAACGTTAACGCTTGGAATAACTTAAAGCTATAACTATTTACTTTGAACTGCTCATGCTTGCTGAAAGATCGGAGAATCTTTAAAACAATTTCATTAGTAGTCACCTAATGCGTAACGTGTGTTGCATAACTGACCAAACTCCGGGTCTCTGTGGCCTCAGTCAGGCAGTAGACCATTGCCCTATGATCATTTGTGATAATTAGCCTCGTTCAAATTTTTACATGAAAGCTAAATTTCATGCATGCTACCTAATTT